GCAGAAGAGGATTATTTTATTAGTGTGTCACACTTTGCAAGTTACGTGAAACAGTAGGTTTCTTCAACATGAGAACGTCGCTATATAAGTGCAATAATCTTGGACGCGACGTTAAATCCCATCTCACCTCACCTTCAACATAAGAGTATAAAAACAAATCCCCGCCTTTTGAGGCTTACGAGACAAATAGCTCTAACAATATCACATAAAATTGTAAAAAAAATTGTATATATACACTGGCCAAAAAAAGAGAAACGCATAACAGAATAATCAGTGTTTCATTACATGTTCAATGAAATAGGATTTCACAATAAATAATGTAGATATAACAACCAAATTTTACACAGGATGAGGCACGTGTTACTTACACTACAAATAGTCTTTTAATGTTCTTAGAGACGTCTGTGTCTGTGATGGCACTGTGCCAAAGTCAGTACCGGGTGTTACCACCACGAGCATCGATCACAGCTCTGCACCGCCTGCGCATGGACTGTATGAGTCGTCGAATCTGGCGTTGTTGAACCCTTCTCCACTCATCCTGCAATGTATGGCTCAGCTGTTTAGGCGTCTGTGGTTGAGGCTGTCGGCGTCGTACACGTCTGTCTAGCAGATCCCACAAATGTTCAATGGGGTTTAGATCAGGCGATTTGGAGGGCCATGGCAGCACAGTAACATTGTTGTGGGCAAGATAATCAATGGTAACACGTGCAGTATGCGGTCTTGCGGTATCTTGCTGGAAAATCTCTCTTCTGACGTCAATGGCGGGAATAAGGTGACGTTGAAGGATTTCATCACGGTAGCGTACAGCAGTTAAATGTCCCTGCACGTGCACCAGATCTGTCCTACCATTCACGGATATGCCTGCCCACATCATGACACTTCCACCGCCGTATCGGTCGACTTCATGAATACAGTGTCGAGTGTAGCGTTCATTTCTCCGTCTGTAGACATGCATTCTACCATCATGGCGATACAGCATGAACCGCGACTCATCACTGAACCATATCCTTCTCTTGTGCACTAGGGTCCATGGTCGAACATTTCTGCTTCATTGCAAACGTGCACGACGATGATGTTGCCGCAGGACGGTCTCATTGGCCGTATCCCATGCTGTCTTAGACGATTTCTGATGGTTTGCGCTGAGACTCTACGAAGACCAGGAACATTGTTAGCTGTGTATGCTGCACTGATTGTCCGGTTGCGAAGATGCAACACCCGGATGAAGCGGTCCTGCGCCTAAGTTGTGACCCTGGGTCTTCCACCTCTCGGTCGATCTCTTGTAGAGTTGTGGAGCCAGTAGCGCTGCCACAGACGAGAAATGGTACTCTGGCTCTGCCTCTCCAGCTTCCAGACGTCCAATGGCTCTGTTTCTACACTCTTGGAATCATGAGAAAGTATACCGAGTTTATTTTTTATGTAATTGAAATTTGAAATAACTGTTGTTAAATTTAATTATGTCTATTTAACCATCATTGATTCATGCAACAGTGAGACGCAGTTCAGCTGCAGTTGTCGGCCTTGGTCGGACGTCATTCAGCCGTCTTTGAATCTCGTCCCACAGGTGCTCAAATGGATTTAAATCGGGACTGAGGGCGAGCCACTGCATGGTTCTGATGCCATATTGCTTGAGAACGTATCATGCTGAAACTCGTGGTTGCGGCGACGTGCCAAATAAGGTATGGCGTGTGGTCTCAAGACTTGATCAATGTACCGAGCTGCTGTAACACCATTGCCTCTCCCTGGACCGATGTTCTGGATGACCACAGGGCCGACCCTCTGTGCAAGACTAATACCAGACTGGATCTGTGCGTAAAATGGCAGCGTGATAAGGAACGCTCTACGTCGAGGTAGCAATTCAATAACGAATGAATGTTATCCGATCTGGGTGGATATTTATAGGGCAAGAAATGGGGGAACGCATGTGCATTTCAATTTGCACGGAACTCACGTGCATCGGGTTACCATGGCCGTTGCCGTGATGCGTTTGGGCGATCGTTTTTTTGTCATCTGCTTTGTTTTTTATCATCAAATTTCATTTTCCCGGACAAGGTAATGTCAAATTTTAGGAACTTTGACAAAAATTACCCAGAATTTTAAATGACAACTTTTCATGCAATGTTACTTGGGGTGACGTTTCTTTTGCGGTCGGTATATTTTAGTCGCTTTTATTTTAAAAGACCCGTGTCCCCGTCGTGAAGGAGGCCAGAGCTAGGACGTGTACACAAACCACCCTGGATAGCCACACAAAGGAACGGGTGACCTAGGGATCATAAAACGATTGACATCATTGTGTGTCACTAGCCTGGCATACTAACACACACAGATACACACAGACTCAGATAGACAGACAGACAGACCGAAGCAGGCCAAACCACATAGACAAACACACACACCACCTGCATCTGGTCACACACGTCACACACACGTCACACACACGTCACACACACACACACACACACACACACACACACACACACACACACACACACACACACACACACACACACACACAAACACACACACACAAACACACACACACACACACACACACACGACCTACACACACATTTGATGTATTAATTTGTTTCCTTTTTATTTCTTTATTGCGATTAGGGAGACGCAGAAATTGATTATTCAGTGAATGGGACACTATATATGTCGTGCAATACTATTATTGTAAGGGATTTCAATTAAAAAAAAGGCTTGTTGGTGCAATAAAAAACAGCTGGAAAACACTTCAGTTCCTTTAAAGCGATCCCTGAAAAGTATTTTTGTTCGGGAGGCTTTTGTATTCAAAAGGTTACATATATTCGCTTGTATGCCGCACGACTGAATTAGAACCAAGGCCCCGTTCCACAAAGCGATCGTAGCACTACGACCATCGTAAGTCTATGTTAAAGTCTTAACGATACGATCGCTTTGCGGAACGGAGCCCAAGTCGCTACGGGCTATATTACGGAAACGTACAGCTCTATTGACGTATTAAGTTCTGGTTTATTGGGAAAAAAACAAGGTTTCGGTGTAGATTCTTACACTTTTATCAAGCTGGGATGTACACCCAAACGTCACACTTTGCAATAAACCAGAAGTTGTTATCCATAAAGTTGTACGTTTTCTTACTTACTCACTCACTCACTCACCATCTTCTAGAAGCTAATCAAACAGTCAGATTTGGTGAAATTGTGGGTCTGGGGCCCGTAAAGTATGTAATTGTAACTAAAGAAGTGAAAAACTTCCTTATTCAAAGGCATAAATTAATTCCCTGATGAAAACAAATAGAGTTTATTATGTATTAGTTTAAACTAGTATGTTGTAAACATGATCTACATGCACAGTATCAACATACTGCATGGTGGGACGCGTAATACTATATAACACTTAAACACTGCGCTCTGAGATGTGTGTATATCAAACGTATACATGTGTTATAATTCCTGCACACTGTGCACTATAATATCTAATGCTATTCACTGACGATTGCACATTATGTTAGGTTTGTCGTAGCCTTTCCCAATGATTATTATTTTTTTATATATTTCAATGTAATCTGTCGTCTGTGAAGTTGTGCTGCGTGAACTCCCGTAGTCGTAGTCGTACGTTTTGTTCAGCGACTCAATATATCCAGTGATCATATGCTGTACAGGGGCTCGCAAGGATTTGTTATTCAATCGGTAGCTTCCTGTTTTTATAAGCGTGACGTAGATACGACTAAGGCTTTGACGTTTTCAATTAGTATTGCCTTCAAATACTTTGTAGAGTACAGAGCACGGGTGTTACCTTGAATATTGCTCCGTTTCAGTGAACTCGGTCAAATCTCCTTTCTCTGCAGAGTCCTTATAAGAGGTGGCTAGACTCGAATATCTACAGGATGAACAGTCGGCCCAGTCGTCTAAGGCGTCGCAATTATTTGTGTCCCTTGGGCGCGCCAGGATCCTATGATTGTGGTTCGAATCCCGGTTCGCCCCGATTATGTTTCTACATGTAGGTTTGTCAGCACCATACCCGTGCTCGTTTGTTTCACCGAAGTGGTAAACGTCTGAGACCTGCATCACTTCGAGCTTTCCTCCCACATTGAGCTGACACGCCGAGATATATCTGGAATACTGTTCAAAGCGGCGTTAAACACAACTCACTCACTCGAATATTTACAGTCCGACGTGAATTATCCCGTATATTGAGGACCGCGGCGTAAAACAATGAAAACACTAAGAAGCAAAAAATTAAGCATCTTATAAAGATGAAGTCCTAATGGTTGCCGTACATCCTGACAGTCAGTCTATAGGTCTCTGTTACCTGTCAGTGATGGGGTTAACGTGCATCTCTCCTTGACGAACTTGGCTGGAATTATGTAGTTATATTTGGCTGGACTACGAGTCTATGCAAAGTCAAATAAAACTCGCGTAACGAAATCGACATCCGGTTCGTAAAGTGTCGTGCAGATTTCGGTCGATTGCAGGATTCGTAAAGCATGTCTACCACTAGCTCGGCGTCAACAGATATTCTCCAAATTCCTTAATGTTTCTAAATTAATCAGGGTGCTCATGTGACTTGATGCATTTCGCGATGTGAGACCCGTTTTATTACTATGTAGATCTTGATTATCGATCTTATCGTCTTGACGAGGCACCGCCATATTGTTTGAGTGAGTGAGTGAATGGTTGTACGCCGCTTTTAGCAATATTCCAGCAATATCACAGTAGGGGACACTAGAAATGGGCTTCACGCATTGTACCCATGTCGGGAATCGAACCCGGGTCTTCGGTGTGACGATCGGGTGGTCAGGCTCGCTGACTTGGTTGATACATGTCATCGATCCCAATTTAGATCTTCTATGCTCATGATGTCAATCACTGGATTGTCTGGTCCAGACTCGATTATTTTACAGACCGCCGTCATATAGTTGGAATATTGCTGAGTGCGGGGTTAAACAACAAACAAACAAGACCAAGGTATTTGCATTTGAAGAGAAAACATCACGACTGTAAACTGGAAAGAACGAAGGGAGATAACTGCTTTCAGTCAACTCGCGCTAAACACTAAGCTGTGAGTGACTGCCCAACTGGGAAGACATACACTGGCACAGGTAAGAGCATAACTGTCATATACCTTTACACCTTTCTTTACTTGCTGTTCATGATTCTATCACATTACTATAATACATAGAACGTACTCTCTAGAATACATAGCTGTGCATACAATGGTTGCAGTAGTCGTTTTTACACTAAAAGTATGACTACACTGTTTTTAGATGAGACGAACTGTCGCATCTTTTCTACAACACTAAAGGCATTTTTACTATAACGCTTGGTAGCATCATCTAACCCCTTTCTACAAAGTGCCATGACCATGTTTGAAAGTTCAAATGTCTGAAATACATGTAAAAGGTGTTCTTTGTGGGAGTATTGTCCAATTGGCAGTCCCAACAAATTTGAATGATGCCAATAGATACCCACTTTGTTTGTCTGCTAATCGACAGTTCATGGTGTATATCAATCCTGCAGTTAATTACACAAAGAAAATGTGTCATTGATAAAACAGGCAACAGATTACATCGTATAGACTAGACTGGGCATTAGACCCGGAAGAGAAGCATTCGTGACCAAGTTGTGTTATTCCGGGATAAGCCGAATCATTCGTGACCAACTCGTGTTATTCCGGGACAAGCCGAATAGCGACTCGTGCCCCTCTCGTGTATTCGAATGAAGCCGAATGGCAGGTTACGGAAAGGGGCGAGTGGTGACGAATGGTAGAGAAGCACCTTTCTAATTGTTATGGTAATAAGCTGAGCATGGACAGGTGGGTGTGGCACATCGACTGTGCAGTCGTCTGAAGCGAGGGTTAAACTCGTGACGTAAAGGCCAAGGTCGCAGTAAACACTCTAAAATACTGTCGGAAATAGAAATAACTTCATGTTTGTCTTTAACTCTTATCGTTAAAAGTTTTGGTTCATGGAAAGAGCTAATTAACAAAGTTATTACTGACTGTGGTTTGAAAAGGATAGATAACAAGGGGAACAAGCCAATGTTCAGGAGGGAACACAACTTAACAGTCTGGAATATTGTTTGTCCCAACTGGTATTGTGATAATAATTTTTGCTATGAATGCTATTGTATATGTTTTTTGAGGCACCCTTCACTGGCCACGCATATTTTCACACCTGTCATCCGCAATGCAATATGAGCGTAACACAACGTGTACACCTGACGGGTATGATCTGTTTCGTGTCGTTATTTTTCATAGACGCTTGGATAATTGAGGTCACTGGCTCGCTAGCTTTGTAAGAAAACTGTTATTTTGTTATATGCTGCTAATCACCATAATGATAATCACAAGTGAGGGCCAAGAAAAAGTTTATTTCTAGGTCTATGAGTACTGTATCCTTCCGTGTCCCACCAGTGAAGTCCCCTCAGGTAATGAAAGAAACTCATACACATACGAAATACGAAAACAAATGTTCTGTTAAAATAATCTGCTATGAGACGTTATGTTTTGTTTGTTTGTTGTTTAACGCTGCACTCAGCAATATTCCAGCTGTATGACGGCGGTCTGTAAATAATCGAGTCTGGACCAGACAATCCAGTGAGTGAGATCATGAGCATCGATCCACGAAATTGGGATACGATGACATGCATCAACCAAGTCAGCAAGCCTGACCACCCGATCCCATTAGTCGCCTCTTACAACTAGCATAGACGCATCTTATGACAAGCATGGTTGCCAGTTATCTACCCGGATCTTCACGGGTCACCATGAGAAGTAGACAGATGTGAAAGAAAATATACTGTGACTGTGACCTAAATCAGAAACATTACAATCATAGAACTGAAAATTGCTTCTATGACAGAACGTACATTAGAATTCAAGTTAATGGGATATAATTTCAATGGTAACGACAAAACCCTTTGCACGTTCATAAGAAATATCTGCCCAAGGCAGAGTCGATTGTACGATTCCGACTATACCAGAAGTATTTTTTATATGAATCACTATCGCATAGTGATGATACCAGTTGTTAGCGAAAGAGTGAGCGTATCCTGCGCCAGTGGTGGCATCCGCCACAAACACATGCAAAGGAAAGTCAATTGTGCACCTGAATCAAACTGAACTTGTTTTAGTTCTTGTTCGTTCCTTCTTGGATAATATAAATTTTTTCAATCTTGTTTTCTTTCCATGCCTTATTTATGGTGTATACAGTAATGGTAAAAATGAAAATACAAATGTTTCACTGTGCGAACCTAGACTCTGATCCTCTAGTTGAGAATATTATAATAAACTAAAATAGGGCTGACTATTGAAAGATGTTTTTTTTGTTTTTTTTGTTTAAACAGAATGTCTGGTGGTCCAAGCACAAAGGTGGACATAGGTGATTTGAAGGATGCATTCCTAGAATGTGCTGTTTGCACAGAACACTTCAACCTGGATGAACGAAAGCCTCGACTGTTACGGTCTTGCCTCCACGCTTTCTGTTCACATTGTCTGCAGAAACTCCTGGAGAAGCAGGGGAAGGGCATCGTGACATGTCCACTGTGTCGCCATGTGGAGAATGGCGTCAACAAGATTGATATATTGCCCATTGATCCTGTGAGGTCTAATTTGGTGGAGTACCTGCAGGTCAAGCAACAGAAGAAGGTCTTGTGCAGTGACTGTCCCGAAAGTTTGGATGCCATTTCACGCTGCCAAGACTGCAAATCGTATCTTTGCAAGGACTGTGACTTTGCTCATCATCGAAACAAGTTGAGTAGAGACCATTCCATCATATCTCTAGAAAAGTTGCTTGAGGAACCTGTCAAAACTTTCTCCAGAGGTAATTTTTGTCCAAGTCATCCCAAGTACAATGTTGAATTCTTCTGCTCAACATGTAAGACATTATGTTGCCTTTCCTGCACCGTTGTGGATCACAGCGGCCATACGTTTATGAAACCGAAAGAAGCTGCTCAAGCAGGGAGACAGGACATAGAGCGTTCCCTGGCCGAAGTAGGCAAGATGACTGGTCGTCTTCAAACATTGAGAAACAAGGGCAAACAGCAGGAGAAACTTCTCACCATGGCAACTAAAAATGGTATGGCTGAAATTGATAAGATGTTTGACTGTATGAACCAGTTACTGAAAGAACGTAAGGACCATTTGAAGGTCAACATTCAAGACAAAAATGAACAAATGGTGACTTCTGTCCAAAAGGCTACGGAGACCTACGAGCAGACCCTTGCCATCATTGAGTCCAGTACATCGTACTACAATGAAGCTCAAAAGAGAGTTGATGACGTAGAGATGCTGCAGATGTACCCGGCCATAAAACAGACCCTTCAGTCCATGGTGGATGAAGACTGCACCTCTAATGTTCCTCTGGATGACGATACGTTTGGCTTCAGGCCAGAACTGGATTGTGATTTGGGATTATACGTTTCGAAGTTAGGTCAAATTAGAAACACAATTGCGATCCCTTTTCCAGGTACGTGATTATTTTATTTTTGGACAAATTGTATTTAGACCCTACTATGAAGGGCATATTGTGACCTCAAAATAAAGTCATTGCAACTGATTCATATAACTTTGGTCTAACCTTTATCATACCCATGAGAGGTAAATCGTTTCAAATATAACTGTGGGCGTATGCGATATAAAATGAAAATAAATTCTGTGATGAGATAGACGATAGATCTTAAATAAGTAACTGTTTAATGCAGATGTGAAGGCCAAGGTTACATCTAGTCCCCGAAACTTTGAGAGAAGTGAACGAAAGGAGCAGAAGACCGTGATAAACGAGTTGAGAGAAACACCGTTGATTGTTGGTGAAGTAAGGTGAGGAACACCTTAACCGAAGAATTCATAATATTATCCTAAACGAAGTCCATACAGCCAGTAATTGGGCTAATGGTCACGTTTCTATGTGCATGTTTACATGCAGATTAGTCGCAAGTAAGATCGTTGAAGGCGTGGAAGACCCTCGCCTCACTCTTATATAGGTAGAGCCAGACCCAAGAAACTGTTACCTCGCGGATCTACTTGAACAACACAGCTTCGGTCGCTTGGCAAAATCAGGGCAATCTGATATTACAGTGGGTAGCACTTTGTTTTGTAGGGCAGGACATGCTTAACCTTTTCGCGAACACCTGGTGTCATCACTGATTTTCAGTGGTCCATTCATATAATTTCCACACGGCAGAAACTCTAGGCTGGTTATTCACTTGAATTGACAACTTATGTTTATAGCTTGCGGGTCAATAGACTACAATGGTTTTTTTGTTATAGTGAAACAGTACATATGTGTGGAGTTTCAGATGGAGAAGAATAGGTAATATGTTTTCCATTGCATCTTCCTATTAGAACACTAGTTTATATTTTTCCATCAGGTACATTGTTGCTGCTGAGTGGTTTGAAAAATGGGAACGATATGTTGGCATCTTCTCTGACGATGGAAGCCCTGGACCAATAGACAACACGCCCTTACTGACATGTAGGTGACCTTTATTAGAAATGTCAGCGCTAGCCAGTACATCAACTACTTCTTGAAATTGTCTTGGACATTAGGGAAGATTGTTCTAATCGACCTTTCTCGTCACTGTAGTGCCACCATGACCCCGTTATCTCCTTTTACTTGGCATTAAGGGGATAAAACAAAGACTGGTTGATGCATGTCATTTATCCCATTTGCGTAGATCGATGCTCATGATGTCAGTCACTGAATTGTCTGGTCCGAGTATTTACAGACCGCCGTCAAATAGCTGGAATATAGCTGAGTGCGACGTTAAAAACAAACAAACAACATATTTGTCATTATGAATGAGTGAGTTTCCCAATGAATGTAAAAAAATAATCCACGCCCACTGAAGCGGACTACATTTATTGCAACGGAATGTCGGGAAGTCCCAATGTGACAGTCAAAGGAATTCCCATTCTGCTCACGTGTATCGTCATGCACAGGACATTTAGCGAAATTCATGCATATTCATTGTCCAAACTACCCTTTGAGAGCAAGGGCCGAGAAGGAATGAAACAGCAAACGTGCAGGCTCGCTCTCCTGATTTTTTGTCCGCTCGCCTGGGTTCCAAAAATTTCATGTCTTCAGGTTTTATTTCTAACCCGCATTTTTCCAACTGTGTCTTCCCGTTCTCAAGGAACTAATGTTTGAATTTGGCAGTAACTTACCGTGTCATTTGAAACAACCGCCTTTTTCCGGTTCCGGTTTGTTACATTCGTCACCACTCGCCTCTTTCTGAAACCTGCAACAAGACTCGTCCCCCATTCGTCACCACTCGCCCCTTTCCGTAACCTTCAGCAAGACTCGTCCCCCTGTCGATGAATGTTATGTGCGAAAATACGACGAACCAATCAGAATGCGCGTATGATTTCAAGTTCTTCATCAAAGAATCCGTCAGAAATAGTTTTTTTATTTTACACATGTCTTGTATCTAAAAATATACCCCAGATACAGTTAAACGTGTTCAATCATACTGTATAATTCCGCACGTCCCGATGTGCTTTAAATAGCATCTGACATATATATGACATAGGGGAACCCAGTCATAAAAACGGCCATGGGACGGGCACTAGTCGCTATTCGGCTTGTCACGGAATAAAACGAGTATGTCAGGAATGCTCTTGCCCCTCTCATTTTTGCGACCAGGTTCCGTCTTAGCACAAACGGGCATACCTAAAACAATTGTCAACTCATTGCGTAATGGTTCACATAATTTCCCCATATATTTTATATATTTCAGATGCAATTTAAAGCACATCGGGACTTGCGGAATTATAGTCATATGTAAGGGTTAATCAAAACATTTGCCCGATAAAGGGCAGTTGGAAACGTTGAGTAAAGATTTGAGACATTATATTCAGTGATATTACATAGGTCACTTTTAAAATGTAAGGAAGTCGTGCATATGATGGATGTCAAAGTAGTAAACTGCCACTTTCGTGAAACACACGGGTATGAATGAGGTGAGGTGAGGTGAGGTGAGGTGAGGTGAGGTGAGGTGAAATGGGGTTTATCGTCGCGTCCAACATTATTGCACTTTTTATAGCGACGTGCATGAACGCATGTGTGTGTGGCTGCTTGTACTAGTCCGGACTATTGCAGATTTCATAGTGCTAGCCTACTGAGATACCATGCCGCAGATTAACATGAATACCCTACTCACACACAGTATACTACTTCGAGTCGAAATGTCCTTGTTTTAGCCCCTCAATGCTGAGCATCAACCGTCTTTAACGTCTTCTTGGTATGACGTATGGGGATCGACCCCGACCTGTCGCTCTCCGGGCAGACGCTCTACCACTCTACCACGGAGGCGGTCGGATATAAATTTGCTGCTGAGACATCAATGAATCAATTATATGAATCCGGCTGAATCTTATATTCAAACCCATCATCAGATCCCTATAGCATAGTGAAATTCGGTTTCAACGGCCTTTTTCATTCATTTAATTCAGTTGAGCATTAACAATTATATTCCTGTTCTTCCTCAAATCTAATTATGCGAATATATGTACAATCAAAATGTGTACACTTACCACCATGATGATATAAGAGCAAATGTATGTTATTGTTTTTCAGATCACAAAACGCTAAGGAAAAGCAGATTATATTCATATCAACAGCAAAAGGACATGGTCACTCTACCTAAGGCTGCGTTTGGGAAGCTATTGGAGTGGTATGGAATCGTAGCAGAGGTACTTGAAAATCACCCATGTATAACAAGCCCGCGTAAATCAACTGTATATTGTTACGAGTGTTACCCAACATTGATAAATCATTAATTTTGATGAAGGGATAGGCAAACAATAACAAGCGGACAGCAGATTTTAGTTATATCCTTGCAATTATCTACCGAAGTGCCCTTTTCGAACTCCTCTCATCAATGAGAGCGTATATGTCATAGTGTTTTGTTTGTCACCAGTTCGCCCTTGTATATTTGAACACAGAAGTTAATTAGTATCCATACACAAACAGGGGCGGTCGGGTAGTCTAGTGGTTTAAGATTGTCACACCAAAGACCCGGGTTCGATTCCCGACATGGGTACAATGTGTGAAGCCCATTTCTGGTGTCCCCTGCCGTGGTATTGATGGAATATTGCTAAAAGGCGTAAAAACGGTACTCACTCACTCACTCACCCATACACAAACAATTGATTCCAACATGTTTGTGAAATGTGTTGAGAAAAGTCAAAGTAACCATGTTTAAGCTGTGAAGGAGTATGACTTATAAAGTGGGGTATACCGTTTGACAATGAAATAGACTGTTCTCGGGAAAGCTTTTGTATATATAGAGCATACAAGTCTTTGAAAGGCATTTGGAAGTGATACACATAAGGAAGAGAATTTATGGATGTCAACTTCTTTATTATGAGGAACACAACGTTTCGGGAGCATATACTTATTCCTTTATCAGCTGTGTTCCTCATAATAAATAAGTTGACATCCATAAATTCTCTTCCTTATAGATCATACAGTTTGATAACAAGTCACGAAGAGGTGAATAGAACAAAACTAATGTCTTCTAGCAATATTACAGTTTCACCACAAGCGACTTATTAATAACTGATATGACTTTGTCATTTCAGGACACTGTTCTCTATCGGAGTGTTATCAAGGTTGAGGCACGACCAGAAATAGAGATCCACCCGCTAGAACTATGTTTGAAGTGTGTACCAAGTGGACAACAGTTAACGAAATCACTTTCTCGTGAAACAACCATAGGTGTGTTTTTACTTTGCTTTGATCGTTATCTGGACTTCCCTTTTCTAAGACTTGATTTGGTGCTTTGTGGACTAAGTCTACACATCTTCCTGTACATAGTTGCGGCTCTTACTAGTGCTTAGCAGAAGTGGTTGTTGTGAGATAACTGACATACAGTTGAACCCATATCACTCACTCTTCGATAATCATGAATGACACATGCTACCAAAAAAACAGGATATGCTCACCATTTATTCAAGGTAGTTTTTTTTTCTAAAGATAATTCTCTCGTTATAGTACTCTCGCCGACTTCTATCAGTTTGAAGCATGCGTATTGCCCGTAGGCATTGATCGCTTTGGAGGGGAAACATTAACAATCTGATCACAAATATTGCGTTAAAGCAAGCTTTAAGATTACGTGTTGCTATGGATAATGAAAATCAACACTACTAATTGCCCATTGCAACTTGACGACTTTTCAGTGTCAAAATCAAGAATACCTCTCTGCCCACGCAGTTTCCACGTGCAATGTTCCAGGTGTATTTGGGCGTTCTATCTCTGGCAGTCATTTTTCAAAGCTGATATTTCTTTTGGCAACCAATCATAACATTTATATTTCATGATGTAAATACTTTTATATACTTTTGTGTCAGAGTAATATAGAATACTAAACAAGCTCCCGTGTAATACCATTTTTATGAAACGAGTGAATAGTTGTGGTATCTGACGAGCGAAAGCGAGTCAGATACCACAACTATTCACGAGTTTCATAAAATTGGTTTTACACGGGAGCGAGTTTAGTATTTTATTTATTACTTGCCATTTATAACGTTTTTAGAATTATACTGATGAGTATGAATAGGCTAACACCTACACGATCCACGGCATAGTCCAATTGAGTTTAACAGAATAATACTTCAAACACGTCAAAAGTTGAAACGTATGAATTTAATACCATACAACGGTCCACCTTTAGAATTCAGGCGTCCGTTCCACAAAATTATCGTAGGGCTAATCGCAACTCACATACGTTAACTTAGACTAACGACTGTCGTTGCACTACAATACGATCGCCTTCTGGGCCTTGCACCACAAAGTTTACAATCACGTCACAATACCCGATGACGTAAATTATGGAATTTTGTTGCAAGATCCATCGGCGGAACAATGCCATGTGACGTCATCCTAGCAACAAGGTTGCTGGGGTCATCGATTGTGCATAAGCTCCTCTCAGTGATCTACCATCTCCACACGCAATGTCGTTGAATAAGCCAAGGGATGTTGAGAGCTTTCAATATTTGTTCGTGAAACGTGTTCCGAGAGTACATTAGCACGCGTTTTGGTATTACACAATGTGTAATACAGCTGTATGTTTATTAAACGGGTGATCTCTTCACGGGCAAGTAATAAATTAGAATTATCTGTTAACAGGTGAATTGGAAATGTGGATGAGGAAGACATTTGGTGTGCCAAAGGACGCACACACCCACCTGTTGACTGGAGAACGTCGTGGAAAATTTTACTATGAGCAGACTCGACTAGAACCACAGAAGAACTTATACAATGCTGGGCTTAAAGATCAACAGGTGACACATTGATTGGTTTTCATTATTCAGGAAACTGTGGATTTAGTCACGATTTAAGCCATGTCACCTTATTTTAAGCAAATTGATAAATACATAGTGTGTAGTGGAAACAGATGTAGACCAGTCTTGTCCAGTCTTGCTTGACAACGGTAAAAGGATCTATACCGATACGTCACCTTTACAATAATTAAGGAAATTGTTATGCATATATTGTGTCTACTTTGTCATCCGCCAGCAAACAATTCAAGGATGATATACGTGTATTTAGTATCCAATAACGTTTCTCAATTCCGGATTATAAGAATGGCAGGGTGACCAGGCTTTTTTCTCCTTTTTTATGCCAAATGTTGGTGACTATACATACGTGGTCTTGTTTTCAAACAGTGAATGAAAGAAGACATCCACTAATATATATTGAAATATAAAGCACAGCAAAATAAACGACTGCGCCACCCATGGCCCTAATCTAGAATTGAAAACAGTTGTGTCGACTGTGTTTGCCTCTTCATTTCAGACTGTTGAGCTACATGTTCAGAGTGTTCATCAACCTGCCATTACCAAGGTGCAGGCAGCAAGTGATTCAGGTACAGAAGTTCACCTTTCTCTGATAGATTTACACTTGAGTGATGATGTGCAGAATCGATTGACTTCAACATCATATTATGGTATTTTTCAGTGAAAGACAGATGCTGACACGTGTTTGGTGTCATATTCCGATCAGAATTCCCTACCATCATTGTTTCAGAAAATATTCAAAAACACATAAGACCATCTTGTTCTATTGGGATGTTCGAGAATAACCTAACTTCACCATCATTCTCATTTCAAATGACATATCAATATCCACCTGGATTTATCCTTGTTTTGACTATGGTAGAGTATGAACTGAAATTTCCTTCCACAAATATGAACATTGCAATCATTTCAATGTCTATCATTCAAACGACCCTCCTCTGCAAGTACTCAGATGATGGCCAGTGTGTGCTCACTGTTTCAGAGTAATTGTGAACATGTCATATTATTTGACAATATTTGTGGATCAGTACAATGGTATCCTAAAGACAAATGCTGAACACTTAGACAATGTCAGTATGACCATTCCTTCAGTGAGTGAGCTGGGTATAACAACACTTTTAACAGTATTCCAGTTATATCACGGCGTGTCAGCTTAATGTGGGAGGAAAGCCCAAAGTGATGCAGGTCTCATAAATGATCGATGAATACAGAATAACCTGTACTATAAAATTACAATGTCCAGTTAAATATTGAGAATGAGGTACATCAGTAGCATAATGATTATTTATTTTGTTTTCTGAAGCAAAGAAAAAGACAAAGAAGAATTCCAATCCATGGTAACAAAGTGGATACGAATTTTACAAGCAGGATGCCTAGGCCAAGTTCACCAGAGAACAATTTGTAAAACAAGGTGCTAAACTGAGGCATGCATGACTTTTGAGAAACTTATTAGCAATATGCTATTGACAGGTTACATTTGTAGACCTACCAATACCAGGAATGAGGAATTCTGTGGCAGCTCATGGCCGAGATTGAAAGTCAAGGAGGAATGGAACTTATATCATTTTAAGTTAGATAGAGCATGAGACATTTTGCTTTCTGCTGATATTAGGTGTTGTTGTCAACCTTAAAGGGACATGTTATTTGATGATCTGAGCCTCATGTGCAAGGCTCGCTGACTTGGTTGATGCATGTCATCATATCCAAATTGCGTGGATCGATGCTCGTGATATCAATCACTGGATAGACTGGTCCAGACATGATTATTTTTACAGATCACCATCATATAGCTGGAATATTGCTGTGTGTGGCTTTAAACAACAAACAAACAAACAAATCACATTCTCATGGGTTAGGTCAGATGTCACCTCATAACTTGAGGTCAAAATATTCAAGACCCATATTTCATGAGGGATGTGTTAAAAGATTTCAATGGGTTTTTTAATTCATAAAAGGTGATCACAGGGCTGCTACCGTTCATGTAATGTGAACCATGTTTTGGTCCATGTGATCTTGCCACAGACTTTCACTTTCACGACTGTAAAACTGAAAATACAGTCAACTCACTATTCTGTTCATGGGTCATTGTAAAATCATGCAGCCATCTCAGTTATCAGCTACTCCAGAGTGAGTGGGTATGGTTTTACGCCGCTTTTAGCAATATCCAGCCAGCAATATCATGGCAGGGGACACCAGAAATGGGCTTCACACATTGTACCCAGGTCGGGAATCGAACCCAGGTCTTCGGCGTGACGAGCTTTAACCACTAGGCTACCCGACCACCCCTCTCCAGAGGTAAAGGTCAAATGCATATAGGACCAGGTGAAAGATTTCTTTCTACGTTCAGAAATGATATTGAACAAACATATATAATATTGTTTTGTCATGTCGTCTTCTTTTTAAACCAAGATGAAGGTGCTGAGGAATATTTGTTCTTTTTTGATGACATCACAATATTTCTTCAAAAGATGGAATATCAATTATTAGAAAGGCCTGATTTCAAAGGTCCTTTAAGTTGATAAGCCTTCGCAGAGACTTTTATTGGGGGCACATATTTTGCCAAGCCTTTATTAGGCAAGTGACATTATTTACTAGGTGATTATGGCAATAGCTTCATGTTAGCATCAGCAACAATCCATGGTTGGAAATGAAAGGTTCCAATATTATTGTACCTTGGAAACGCCAGATCGTGAAATTTCTTTTTTTATTCTTGTCCTTTCTTTTCTATCTGCATTATGAATTCTTTTCCTTTGTTTCAAGACAATATCCATTATGACCAAGATAATTAATGAATGTTCAGTAAAGCAACAAGAAGAAATTGTTGTAATGATATTATATTTGTATTAAAACCAAACCAGTTTCCTGAAGCAGTAGGTTCAATGATCTAACTGAATTAGGCTCATTCATGTTTGTCCAACAGTGCTTAGCAACAAGGTACTTTCTTGTCAATACATGCATTGGAGGTTAATATTTTAACCTACAGATTTCAAAACCTAGCATCCTAACTACTTCATTGATCTGACCCGTGAAGATCTGGGTTAGAATAGGTCTTTAGCAACCCATGCTTGCCATAAAAGGCAACTATGCTTGTCATTAGAGGTGACTAATGGGATTGGGTGGTCAGGCTTGCTGACTTGGTTGATGCATGCCATCGATCCCAATCACTGGATTGTCTGGTCCTGACTTGATTATTTACAGACCGCCGTCATATAGCTGTGAGTGTGGCATTAAACAATAAACCAACCAACTTCACTGATTTGTACTTTATTTTACCAGTTGAATTAAATAAACATAAACATCACAGATTTTGACTTGTTTCTGTAGTTCTGTTTATGTTTTTGAAAAACATCAAAGTTTATGCAGGATATACCTTTCCAGTGTCATATTTTCCATGTACAGATTTCTGTGAGGCAATATTACAAGGAGCAGTTGCCCCAGCTGCTACTCCATGTGAACAGCTGCTTGTACAAAGAAGAACACCCATTTCATGTAAATATACTTTATTTAGTACAAATCGTGGGTAATGGGAGTTAGCATAAACAGTGATAATTAAGAAGCCATCGTATGTGATATAAACAGTAAACTCAACAGCACAATGTGACAATGGAGGAGGATCCAGTCACACAAGTGCTTATCAATGATAAATATCTGCATGAGTCTCTATAACACTGGGTTAACCACTATATAATCTCCAAGATCATTGTTACACTAAGTATTGATAAACAGTTCTGTTAAAATGGTAAGCTATCACATTTATTCACAGCTTCTAACTGTTGCCAGCAACTTATCTACTTTGGCCAACCAATGAAAATTGAGACATTTGAATTTTAGCCAATGAGAATGCTTGGAAGTTAAAGGGCCCAGCAGAAATTGCATAGACAGAAATGGTGCTGCAGCTTTAAATGAAAACATCCTCATCTGTGAGGTGCAACCCTTTAACTGATAGATAAATCCATGGCGGTTCCATAGGATTAAAATCTGTTTGAAAGGGTTAAGACTTTTTTTCAGTTATCAAAGACTACACCACCTTAACCCAAGGAATGACAAGTACAGGTACTCACATACACTTTGAGATTGAGGTTTGTGTTATCTATCAGTGACAGGGTTAATGTGCATGGGGTTAGGTGACTGTGTCCGAGATACTCCCTGACAAGCCACAGCTTCATCAATGTTAACTCAAGGAGGAAGACAAATTCTTGCAAGCTAACAAATACCAATGGAATGTGTTCTAGTCACTACATTGTTTCTACCACCTGATACCAAGACAAAGAAACAAGTGCTGTCATTCAAACAGGTACAACCGAATCGTCCGTCATAGAAAAGCTGTGGCAACTCAGATGTTTGTGTGGTTCTGTGGAATGGTCTGTATTCCTGGCAGCTCTGTCCACCTGGGTCTAAGTCTACAGAATCATGTCATTCCTATATCCCTGACAGTCTATGAAGTGTAAGCCAACCGATGTCCAAACATGTTTGTCCCTCCCTGCATGCTACAATGTGGACAGACCAGAAGACTACCAATCCTTATCATGTGTCTACATAGTGCATGGATATCGGATGACCACCAAGGACCACTTTTGTCTGTTAAATACCAAATTGACAATCAGATAGGGAACCAACTAATGTGTCTAGACGATGTATGGATATCTGATGCTAACCAGTGACCATAGTTGTCTGTTATATACCAACTGGACATTCAGAGGACCAACTAAAGTGTCTACACTGTAGATATCGCTGCAATGAAATTACATCACAATGCTTTGCAGACCATTGTGACGTCACTGGTTACCATGATGTCACAATCAAATGACATCACTAATGGCTCTGCTACTGAAGCTGTTAGCAGTACGTTTTACACTGAAGACACTGCTAATTATTGTCTACAAATTGAATAAGTTGGACGAATGATGTTGGATGATAAATAAAATCTCACCCTTGTGTCTTGTTATATCAAATATATCAACTCGTTGATAAAAGTGGCAAAAATCCTTGGCAAGCCTCGGAATATTTCCACTTTTATCAACTCGTGTTGATATATTTGATATCAAAAGACACTCGGGTGAGATTCTCTATATACCAACTGGACATTCAGATAGGGAACCAGCTAACCCATGTGTATCTACATGTTATTTGATATATGATGACCACCAATGTATTATGATACTATTTTAAGACTGCTCATCTTATCAAAAGTAAGAATCATTTATTTCTTTTCATTTCTGATTTTTTTTGTTCTCACTCCATGAAACTGAACTTTGGCAAAAACAATACACCAGTCAGAGTTAATATGATGTGTAGCCCCTGCCTTCTTCCGTCCTATGTTTCTTGGTACCATCAGGTTCCACATCAATGCCACTCAACCCCACACCTGCCTTTCAGGACATAACCACACCACCTGCGTGACATAGCCACATTACCTGCATGACATCATGACATTACTACCATGACATGACATGACATTACTATCATGACATTATTACCATGACATCATGACATTACCACACCACCTGCATGACATCATGACATTACCACGACACCTGCCTTTCATGACATTACCACACCACCTGCATGACATCATGACATTACCACACCACCTGCATGACATCATGACATTACCACGACACCTGCCTTTCATGACATTACCACACCACCTGCATGACATCATGACATTACCATACCACCTGCATGACATGACATTACCACGACACCTGCCTTTCATGACATTACCACACCACCTGCATGACATTACCATATTACCTGCAGGGGCACTGGATGCAACAAATCAAGTCATGAAAATTGTTCAAAAGCATTAGAAAACACCTGTCATATAAAATGAAATAGAAAAATGGAAAAGTTGATCAACACGTAATGTATAATCTCACTCATCTCTGCAATATGCATTTGTTATATAATGAAGAGTAATAATCATCAACATTCTGTCATTCTGCAAGCCATAAAAAAAACCTTCCTAAGTATCCAAATCATGTAGGATGCTACACATGGGACTACCAGTGTATAATATTGTTACTTTCTGGGGAGTATCTGGAATTTCTCAATTATTCTTACCAAAGAAACACTGCAATAAAATAATCTTGGAATATTTTTTAGAACAAAGAAAATGTTGCCAAATAAAAAAATAATTTTGATCTTTTTCAAAATGTTATTTAAAATAACTTTTTTAAACAAATGTTTTGAAAGGATGTTCCAAATATAAAAAAATCCCAGTCCAAAATTCGAATAAAAAAAATTGATCAGTCAACGATGAGTGTTGCATCCAAACTCACTGTTCATAGTTTCACATCTCTCTGATAGATACAAAAGTGGAATTTCGTTTTTCTGTTCACTAAAGGTAAAGGTATGCTAATAGGGTTCAGTCAACATGATCTAAATCTAATATAAGGGAATACACTAAATGATCTACTGCAGTTATCATTATATACATACTTCTGTAAAGAATTTTGTCTGATATCCCAATATATTGGTCCAGTAATGCATGTCTCTCAAAAACATTGCATATTTGTAATGGGGTGAGACAAGGTTTCATTCTTATAGTGTTTTTCTTCATATTGAGACATTTCAGCTACAATGGGGACAGGATGATATCTAATCCAAAGAAATGATATCAATGTTCTCAAATTCTTGTAACATAATTAAATCTCACTATCACAGTTGCAAATCCTGTAAAAAAATGAAAACACTATCATACACCATATACAAAAATAACAGCAACAGTATAGAAGTCTTCAATGGATATACTCACTAACTGGGACACAAACATCGCAAACTCATATCCATAGTTTGTGGAATTTGGTGGTTTCAGTCCTTGTACCTTTTATTTCAAGCATCCAATTATAATGATTGAGTGTTTTGTTACTTGTTCACAATGACAACCAGTATTTGCATAACTTTATTATTATTGAGTGTATCCATTGTAAAGTTCTGTCATCCCCCAAAAGTCTGAAAGTCACTGTCACAACCATTTTGATATCTGATAATTGTGAAGAAACAAATAATATTATTTTCAAGCTCTGGCACAATGTTTTCAATGCATGGTCACCATTTACAGACATGGTTACCCAACTTTTTTTAACAATTGGACACAAATTCATAGAACGTTCTCTGACATATCAAAATCACTTGATGATGTTTTGTTCCACTGATATCCTTTGTTTCTGTTTCTTGAATAACATTTCTTGTGGTATTGGTATCCATGGCGATTCTTCCAAAGAAATAGTGTCCATGGAGATTATTTGCACGGTTTCTGGAACTGTTCCTGATTGATGCTGTCTGTGTCTAGCATACTTCGCCAAAGCTTGTCAACAATACAACTGGTCCCACTGAATGATAATAACATGTTGTCACGGCCCAACATCAAGACAACACAGAAAGAGTCACTTTTCCTCGTGCGTTTTTCAGAATATTGACAGCTTCGTCGTGTGTAAGTCCATCCAGACTTTTCCCATTCACAGCCAGAATCTGATCCCCTCTTTTCAAGCCCCCATTCTCGGCCGCAGCTCCCTTCTCAAAGACATTCTTCACATAGATAGGCAGATCTCCATGTGGACTTCCATGACCTCCAACGATCGAGAAACCGAGGCCTTCATGACCTCGCTCTAGAATCAGGGTGCTGCATTGTGGGGCTTGCCTGGGGAGAGAAAAAAACCTGGCTATAACATATGAATTCTAATGTGTACAAAACGTGGCAACTGCACACTGATTAAGAAAAGAACAAGAGTGATCCGAAGATGACATATCCCCCCGACGTGGCATGTCGGTAAACTGTGTGTACCTTCAAGTGTATTTAGATTGGCAAGGAAATCTTTTTCCTTGATGCCAAAACCAGATATATAATGAAGGTTATTAAATATTGGTTCATGTAGCTCACTTTCTGATGATCTCAAATGTCAGGGGCTACAAATTAAAAGGATAAAAATCTATAAATAACAAACTGCGCTACTAGTGAACATGATTGATATGTGCATAAAGTTTGGTGAATCTCTGTCGCATGGTTTAGAAGATATGCTCCAGACGAGGACATTACCCTAAATTCATCAATTTTCAATTTAAATTGAAAAAAAAAAAATAAAAAAAAATCTGTTAAATAGCAAAGGCACCACTACATAACCTGCTTGATAGGTGTAAAAAAATTGAGAAGCTAAGTTGTATGGTTCGGGAGATATGGTCCGGACAAGAGCACTACCCTCAAATTTCCTAAGTTCATCATATTTCCATGGAAACGACAAAAATATAAAATTCTGAAAATCTCTAAATAGCAAAAGGCACTTCTTTTGAGCCTGATTGTTAAGTGTACCAAGTTTTGGGAAGCTAGGTTGTACGGTTTAGGAAATATGCTCCGGACAAGAGCACTACCCTCAAATTTCCTAATTTCATCATATTTCCATGGAAACGACAAAAAAAAAAAATTCTTAAAATCTCTAAATAGCAAAAGGCACTACCCTACTACTGAGCCTGATTGGTAAGTGTACCAAGTTTTGGGAAGCTAGGTTGTACGGTTTAGGAAATATGCTCCGGACAAACAATGATTACAGACGGATGGACAGACAGACAGACGGACGGACGGATGGACGGATGGACGGACAGACTGATGGCTATATCCCCCCATCATTATATGTCGGGGGGATAATAAATTAGAAGCCATAATCAGAATGTCCAAGAAACAGCTCTGTGCAGCGACACCTTCAGCTACTAGACCACCAGTTTTGGTCTTGTAGTTTTACCCTGCAGTCAGCAATTTTCCAGCAATAACTGAGTCTGACCTACAGCTGGACATCAAGCCTCACCATCCTATTGTTTTTAGTTGCCTCTTATGTGTTTGAGTTACACCACTTTAAGCAATATTCCAGCAAGATCATGGCTGAGGACCTGTTATGACAACCAATGGAAGTATTGTACCCCGGGTCTACCCAGTGGGCCACTTTGCCCCCTTACTGTAAACATGTACTGACCCATCAGCTGGAGACACGGTCAGTTCGGTGGCAGTTGGGTCATTGGACATGTCAGTGCTGACTTGGCGTGAGCGACTGCCGTTGACGCTAACCGCTAGTTCCTCCCCCTGGATGACCTGTAACATGACGGGTGTCGTTGACTTCAGCACGGCAACTGCCTCGTCGTGAGTCATGCCATCTGTTGACCGGTTGTTGATCATCAGGATCTTGTCACCAACCTGCAGTGGAGGAACATTCGTGACATTACCAGACTTTCACTTTCAAATATTTGTGACATTACCAGACTTTCACTATCAGACATTTGTGACATAACCAGACTTTCACTGTCAGGCAAACATAAGCAGCATTTCCAGACTTTCACTTTAAAACATTCGCAACATTACCAGATAAGTGAACATTACCAGACTTTCACAGTCAGATGATTAGCGAACATTACCAGACTTTCACAGTCAGATGATTAGCGAACATTTACATTATTGAGTGAATGGTGTTTAAACACCACAGTTAGCAATATTCCAAAGATCCATGTTGACTTGGTTTGGTGACATACATCCAGCCTGGTCAGAAACTAATCCTAGGTCCTGCAAGTGTAGGATTCTTGGGACCTACTCTGCCTGCATTCCCAAAGATGTAGATTACACAGAAGCAACATAATTCACAACTTTCAGATGAACAATGTGTCATATTTCTTGCCATCTATTTCGGGCATATATAGGAAGACAATTTAGCTATCATCGGAATACTGCCCTGGTTCCTGTTCCACACAATGACCTCAGAACTACAATTGTCAAAATACAAAAGTCAATGTTAAAGAATGGGAGGTCGGGAACTATGATGGGTACATTTCCTAGAGGGGAGCTCTCCCGCCTCTACAACGCAGATGCTGACTTACCCGTAACCTGCCACACCTTGCCGCTGGGCCTGTGGGGTTAAGGTTTGCAACAATGATGGGGACGTCCCCGAGTGGGGAGCCCACCCCACCGGCAATGCTCAGCCCCAGGGAGCCAGACTCGTCATGTTGGAGCTCCACGTTCCTCAGGTGTGTCCAGTCCACACTCACATCTAGAACAGGAAGTCAGGGAAAACTGTAGCCATGGTAACACTCACATCCTGCCACATCAGACATTAGCATCGATCCCTTTACAACATTACTCTAACACAAGATCAGGTTACAAGATTCAACAATCGTATATATTCAAATATTTGAAAATCAAGCATCAAGAGACAGAATACAATTTCAAACACCAACTACAAAAAACAGTTTCAAAAGCAAGACAACAAAACAATTGTAAATAATGACAATAGTCAAAGAAAGTTAAATCCATTTAACATTACATATACCAGAAGCAAACAAGATTCATGAAGCAGGGGACGAGATTAATTTCCATACCCAACTGTGACAGGTAAAATAATGGGAAATGCAAATTTGGCTTCGTATGATCTGTGCTGGTATATTCAGCCTCATGCCAATGGTACATGATACACATGGATAGAAAGGTACAGGTAGTCATATCATACTTGGTAATAATACATTCTACATCCCTGAAATAAAACATGCGTTACATGCATAAGATACTTTAATCATTAAAATCAATTGTTTTAGTTATTCAGTTTGAACATTTGTCAAGAAAACCAAGTCATCTAGACCTATTGTCATAAGCTGACAGGGTAACACTTCAGTAGCCTAAAGGGTGTGCACACTGCCAAAACTGAGAAACATGGGACATAAATAAATGGATTCTATTAACAAATGTCAACTAGTCCTGCAAGGAAATAAATAACATGAAACAAAATTCTGGTAAAAAAGGAACAGGTTTACTGAACACACAGTTGATAAATAAACATTAAAATAGTGAGCTACATGGTAAAATCAATAGGTTCACAAATCTTGATAGTTTTCCATGAACAATTGGTTCATTTTAAGATTCTGAGATTTCATAATTTCTTTTCTTTTCTTCGTGATCATCAAAGGAATATGACACATTTTCTTTGTACAGACAGCTGTTGTGGTAACTCCATATTCAACCTAGATTCAACCTGCAGTCAGCAATACGGCGAACCAGTGGATGAATGACCAGACTGCTATGCCATGATCACACACAATCAGCCAGGTCACACACTGTTACCACTTGATCTTTGTAGTGGACCTAGTTTACCTGGAATCCCCACTGGAATACATGGGGTACGGAGGACCTAGTTTACCTGGAATCCCTACTGGAATATATGGGTACTGAGGACCTAGTTTACCTGGAATCCCCACTGGAATACATGGGGTACGGAGGACCTAGTTTACCTGGAATACATGGGGTACTGAGGACCTAGTTTACCTGGAATCCCCACTGGAATACATGGGGTACTGAGGACCTAGTTTACCTGGAATCCCCACTGGAATACATGGGGTACGGAGGACCTAGTTTACCTAGAATACATGGGGTACGGAGGACCTAGTTTACCTGGAATCCCCACTGGAATACATGGGGTACGGAGGACCTAGTTTACCTGGAATCCCTACTGGAATATATGGGTACTGAGGACCTAGTTTACCTGGAATCCCCACTGGAATACATGGGGTACGGAGGACCTAGTTTACCTGGAATACATGGGGTACTGAGGACCTAGTTTACCTGGAATCCCCACTGGAATACATGGGGTACGGAGGACCTAGTTTACCTGGAATCCCCACTGGAATACATGGGGTACGGAGGACCTAGTTTACCTGGAATCCCCACTGGAATACATGGGGTACGGAGGACCTAGTTTACCTGGAATCCCCACTGGAATACATGGGGTACGGAGGACCTAGTTTACCTGGAATACATGGGGTACGGAGGACCTAGTTTACCTGGAATCCCCACTGGAATACATGGGGTACGGAGGACCTAGTTTACCTGGAATCCCTACTGGAATATATGGGTACTGAGGACCTAGTTTACCTGGAATCCCCACTGGAATACATGGGGTACGGAGGACCTAGTTTACCTGGAATACATGGGGTACTGAGGACCTAGTTTACCTGGAATCCCCACTGGAATACATGGGGTACGGAGGACCTAGTTTACCTGGAATCCCTACTGGAATATATGGGTACTGAGGACCTAGTTTACCTGGAATCCCCACTGGAATACATGGGGTACGGAGGACCTAGTTTACCTGGAATACATGGGGTACTGAGGACCTAGTTTACCTGGAATACATGGGGTACTGAGGACCTAGTTTACCTGGAATCCCCACTGGAATACATGGGGTACGGAGGACCTAGTTTACCTGGAGTACATGGGGTACGGAGGACCTAGTTTACCTGGAATCCCCCCTGGAATATATGGGGTTTATGTGGACCTAGTTTACCTGGAACCCCCTCTGGAATATATGAGGTACTGAGGACCTAGTTTACCTGGAATCCCCACTGGAATACATGGGTACTGAGGACCTAGTTTACCTGGAATCCCCACTGGAATACATGGGTACTGAGGACCTAGTTTACCTGGAATCCCCACTGGAATATATGGGTACGGAGGACCTAGTTTACCTGGAATCCCCACTGGAATACATGGGTACTGAGGACCTAGTTTACCTGGAATACCCACTGGAATACATGGGGTACGGAGGACCTAGTTTACCTGGAATCCACATTGGACAAGCATGAGGTACTGTCGAATATTCCCAACTCAGGGTTCAATCTACGCAGTAATCCAACTACCAGAATACTAAATAATAGGGACATGGTTCATTATGTATCATGCAATACAATTACTGAGATACTACACCCTGAAAATAAAAACGTAATATTTGTATTTGAATGCCTCAGTATTCATAATAGATACAGGCATTCCTATATATATATATTCATATTCCAAAGATTCCTTCTTTAAGACAACGAGATGATGGCCAGAGTCTGAAAAGAGGGGGCATAACAGCTGGGTTGGTTGTGGGGTGGGGGGATGCATGGTAAGACTGAGAAGGGCTGGGGGTGTGGGGGGTGTAGGGGGTGTAGGGGGTGTGGGGGTGTGGGGGTGCAGGACAAGCTTATAGTGATGATAAATCAGTGTCGAACAACTTAGAGGCTTCCGGAGCCCAAGGTTGAATATGGAGCACACATGTCACAACACAGGAGTTTGTGCCAATGGAAGAGGACATGAAAGAACACAAGAGAAGACTAAAAGTAACAGATCATTGTGATAAAATGAAACTTTCAAGAAAAGCATTGTGTATTGACATGATATTCCACACTGCAGACCTGAAGAATGCATTTACTAAACAAAAACTGATATTCCTTATATCAGGCTTCTTTCAAACTTGAAATTACATAATTTCCTAAATCCACTTCGACTCATGTAACTAGCAATGATAAATAAAATTTAATCTTCAGTATGATTCAGAAAAGACAAATTTTGAAGTAAGAATGACTAGGGTTAATCTGTGGACATATACTGCATCACCTTCGCGCAGGAGGTTATGTCTGAAGCAGTTAATGTGATATTGTTGACACATGGTAAGTATCAGTGTACAATGGTTGCAGTGTCCAGTCTGCGGAAAACCACCCCAAGCACATGGTATGCAGCTTACACAGAGTACAGTGAGAGGAGACTGCCCATACAGAATACAGGAAATAAATCATGCAAAATATATCAAGTGTTCTAACCTCTTAATATTACTCCAGCGTCCAAAAGCTACCAGTCCAGATTCTGTGCTTACTGGTCATTACCTTTCCATATTTCACATTTCATAAGACAATTTTCAATGGTCTTGCTCCAACGTCACTTTAAGGTGTTAATTATTCATGTTTCTTCTGACAATATCCAAAGGTCTTATTCAATCATCACATAAAGGGCATTAATTATTCACAATTCGCATGATAATTTTCAATGGTCAAATTAAGTTGTTAACTGACAGAATTAATGATTCACATTTCATTTAAGACATTTTTCAATGATCAAATTAAGTTATTAACTGACAGAATTAATGATTCACATTTCATTTAAAACATTTTTCAATGATCAAATTAAGTTGTTAACTGACAGAATTGATTTTTTTTCAATGGTCTCTTTTGATTGTCATACAACAGCCTTATGTCACATTCTTCTAAGACAATTTTCTCATTCAAATGTCACTTAAGAGTATTTATTATTAACATGTTTGACAATAAAATTTGTATCACATAAAAAACTAATTATTCTATTGATGCACACTCAGCTGTTGATTCTTCATCATCTGACCCTGCATACCCCTATTACTATGGATTATCATAATAACGGAATTCAGGGTGTAGTAATTACACTAACTACGGTAATATCCCATTATCTTTGTATGTAATGAGCCATTTGACAAGGAGTATTAATATGGATAACAACTTCTTTATAATACCCGATATTATCAACATTATAAAATACAGTAACAATGTTAAGACGAAAGTAACATACCGTATTCGACGTAATAAGCGCCCAGGGTGCTCTCAAAATTAGAAATAGGGGGCTCTTATTAGAATATTATTTTGGTGGAAAAAACAGAGTTGAAATATAAATTTCGTGGTTTATGCTAACGGCCTGACTGTTTATATACGACAAATATATTTTTCCAGAATTTAATTGCCCATAATTAGGGGGGCATATAACACATGAGTGCGTGATATACACAAATAAATAAGTCTTGTGTACATTGAATAATCGGAAGGGGTGCTACTTGGGATTGTTCACTTGCCAACATATTAGCAAATATCGCCGTAGGCGCTTATTAGAGCAGGGCGCTTATTACGTCGAATACGGTATTTCAATTTGCAAAGAAAGTTGTCTTCCTCACATGGTAAAATGTGATGATTCGTGAATTGATCAACCACACCATATCACAAACAAACACCCTTTGTCTCTGCTTGCATAACATCTTAAAGCTGTATGTACATACGAACAAAACAAATGTCTTCTTTTTCGGAAAACTTAAAGTATTGCGTGAGGAAAATCTCCACATGAAGCATATTGAGGTTATTCTATCCCCGGAGACTATTGTGCAATATCGTATATCTATGCATGTTCATCAAGGTTATATACACAATATCAAGCATCCGTTCCGTAACAATCTGGAATGCTATACACTCAGTTTGACCTGGGCTAGTATTGACAATACACTTCAACTTATCATATAGTCAGAATTATTGCGTAATGTGTAGGTATTTATTTATTGTTACCATATATATTTTTTCATATATGTTACATAAGTAGTAACAAGTGATATAATACATACATTATTGCTCAGCTTTGAAGTGTAGAAGTATACCAGAGACATAGAGAATAGCAAGCTGTTTTCATATTGACTTGTAGCATCAGGTCTGACTAGTCCGAGTACGATATTCAACGTTTCAACGATTGTCTTACAAATGTATATCATTATTATTTAAAATACCATTTGGATTGCAATGATGATCTGATACACCGAGTCGGTAGCAAAAGGACAATACTATTCACATGAGAGTAATTAGCGTGCTTATGCAAGAAAATAGTGGGTACAAAAAGGTTTGTGTTTATGAAAGATGAGAAGTAAATTACAGAACTGGAGATTAGTAGCTTTTAGAGGAGGGAAGACCTGCAACATGGAAGGAGAGAGGATGCTATTGTATATGAAGAAATCATGGTACAGAAAATGTGTTGAAATCAACCAAACTGTACTGTGATATTAATGCACAGCTTGTCAACATTTCATTTTTCAAGACAATGTTTAAGATTACGATTTCCTCATATCTATAAAATGTTTTTTTAAGGAATTGTGTAATTTTGGATTTAAAAAATATGCAGAGATTCCATGAGATGAGCAATATCATCATTGGTGTGTGGTCTTGTTTTACAGCTGTTCATTTCTAATGACAAAATTACAATTTTTGAAACAGACTAAAAAATAATCTTCATCATGTTCAGAAAGAAAGATCCCGATGACAGCGACATTTTCAAATGCAGACAAACTCCTTTGACCGTGTAAAAGTTAGACCTAAATACAAAGTCCCAATAAGTTTCTCAAACTTTGTCTGAAATGTTGACAATGACAGAATAAGTAGTGACATTCAGGCAGGAGACTGTTAGAACTGGCCAATTCCTCACAGCTAATCTCAGCTGCTACCTATCATGCCCTATGTCCAGTATCAGCTGACATGTACATTGTCATGTACACATAACTCAATAATTCCTAAACATTAATTAATATTAAATAACAATAATTTTTCTTAAAGAAATTTTGTAACTCCTAAATAAAAAAAATCCTCAAAAATTAACAAGAAACAAAAATCAATATAACACCAATATATCTTGGGTTGTATACTCCCCAGGGAGCTGAGAATGAAAATTAAGATCACACTGACCGGGGTAATAATGTAACACATTGAGCCTGCTTTAGGGTTGGAATTGGAGCATTATAAAGAGGAACATTATTCTTAATACTTACTCCTATAAAAGAAGCAATGTGTATAAAAAAATGAAAAAAATATATAAATGAATAAATAAATCTGTCACAATGAAACAAATATTTTGTGAATATTTTCCAAGTAAAATGTGCAGTAAAATACCATCAGGTGAGAGGCCAAGATGCCAGACTGGCTTGTAGCAGTAAGAGAGAGAGATGGTGACAGAGATGAAGGCGTGGCATGCCGCACAGGGCAGTCAGTCGTCTCATGCCGTACAGGGCAGTCAGTCGTCTCATGCCGCACAGGGCAGTCAGTCGTCTCATGCCGTACAGGGCAGTCAGTCGTCTCATGCCGCACAGGGCAGTCAGTCGTCTCATGCCGCACAGGGCAGTCAGTCGTCTCATGCCGCACAGGGCAGTCAGTCGTCTCATGCCGCACAGGGCAGTCAGTCGTCTCATGCCGCACAGGGCAGTCAGTCGTCTCATGCCGCACAGGGCAGTCAGTCGTCTCATGCCGCACAGGGCAGTCAGTCGTCTCATGCCACACAGGGCAGTCAGTCGTCTCATGCCACACAGGGCAGTCAGTCGTCTCATGCCGCACAGGGCAGTCAGTCGTCTCATGCCGCACAGGGCAGTCAGTCGTCTCATGCCACACAGTCACAAGCATGCAGTGGGCTACAGAGCTAATTGGCCAGTTAACGAGTCCTACATAATTAACGCTTCTGTGGAACACAATCTACTGTCTATGTTTCAGTAATAATTGATCAGGTTCTGGAAACGAAATTGGTGATCACATCTAGTTTTAAATTCAAGAGATTTAAAATTGATTAAAGTAAACTGTCTATGAAAGGTGGACACAGGTACATGTATGAAGGACACACTGCTGCACCAGTGGAAGCAATACATGGCAAGTTCCATTGTACAAATGCAACAAATATGCCATCACAGAATCGAAATACACTTTTTTCGAAAAAATATACATCTTGCATACATTAACTTCATACAAAAACTGAAAAAACTTAAGGATCATGAATAATTTGGGGGATATTTTGTAAAGTGAAGACTGAGCATATAATTTCATAAATATATTCATAAAATGAGTGAGTGAGTGGGGTTTAACGCCGCTTTTAACAGTATTCCAGTTATATTGCGGCGTGTCAGCTTAATGTGGGAGGAAAGCCCGAAGTGATGCAGGTCCCAGACGTTTACCACTTCGCTGAAACCCACAAGCACGGGTATGGTGCTGACAAACCTAGAAACATAATCGGGGCAAACCGGGATTCAAACCCACAATCATAGGTTTCTGGCGTGCCGAAGGGACGCAACTCTGCACAGCGAATCGCGGCGCCTTAGACGACTGGGCCACCCGTGCCCCCTATATCCAAAAATATATTCATGATCCCTAACTTTTTTAGTTCAGTATATTTTACTTTCTTTCCATTTGTTCCCAAGTAGGGTATTTCACACAATGTGCCACTATTCACACCAGTACACCAGTGTGGAAGGTCGGACACAGCTGACAGACAGACAGACAGACATACATACTCTTTGAGTGTTTCCCCCGTGAGCGATTGCTTGCACTGGATTCTGATTTTTTCAAAGCACTGCCAGGAGAATTGGAGTTTCGTCGTGAAGATGTTCTTGACCCTGCTTTTAACCTTCCCACCATCATTGTGACCTTGCCCATCAATGTCTGAAATACCAAAGAAAAATAGTAACTGATGAAAAAATTTAAGATAGACTTAAAGCTTTAAGAACCAAATACCATCAGTTTCTATTCAGCATGCATATGTTGTTTTCTTACAGAAGTTGTTAAGATGCAGCTGAAATGACTTCAGTTAATACAATTAAATTAAGACTAGAAGAGTCAAAAAGGATTCAATGAATGAGAGTGTGTTCAATGCCATTTTGAACAGTATTTCAGATAAATCACAAGCTATCAACTTGATGAAGGAGAAAAGCCTTCAGTGATGCAGGTGTTAGTCCACTTCGGTGAAACCAACAATCACATGTGTGGTGCTGACTAAGGCTGGGATGGGCAACTCGGGTACTTGGGTCGGGTGGGTCCTAAGTAGGACCAGGGTGCCCACAGGACTACCCGGTCCTGTGGTTTGTCATGTGATATATTGTCTAATGACAATAACAATAAAAATTCCATGGTTACACTAGTACAAGTCGCTAATGTTCGCATTTCTTTCTGACTATTCCCACATTCCTTCTGGCATTTTATGTTTGAGTACAGACAAGGCTTCAGTCAACTTCAATGTATGCATGATCAGATCGTTTTATACGACATCTAAATACATTTTGCCAGGACAGTAGGTATCCATAAATAGGGTGTTGGGTACCCAGGTAGGGTTGGGAAATAGGGTGTCGGGTACCCGGGTAGGGTTGGGAAATAGGGTGTCGGTACACAGGTAGGGTTGGGTAATAGGGTGTCGGTACCCAGGTAGGGTTGGGTAATAGGGGGTCGGGTACCCAGGTAGGGTTGGGAAATAGGGTGTCGGGGACCCCGGTAGGGTCGGGTAATAGGGTGTTGGTACACAGGTAGGGTTGGGTAATAGGGTGTCGGGTACCCAGGTAGGGTTTGGAAATAGGGTGTCGGGTTACCGGGTAGGGTTGGGTTATAGGGTGTCGGTTACACAGGTAGGGTTGGGTAATAGGGTGTCGGTACCCGGGTAGGGTTGGGTAATAGGGTGCCGGGTACCCGCATAGGGTTGGGTAATAGGGTGTTGGGTACCTGGGTAGGGTCGGGTAATCGGGAGTTGGGTACCTGGGTAGGGTCGGGTAATAGGGTGTTCGGTACCCAGATAGGGTTGGGTAATAGGGTGGTGGGTACCCGGGTAGGGTCGGGTAATAGGGTGTTGGGTACCCGGGTAGGGTCGGGTAATAGGGTGTCGGGTACCCGGGTAGGGTTGGGTAATAGGGTGTCGGGTACCCGGGTAGGGTTGGGTAATAGGGTGTTGGGTACCAGGGTACGGTTGGGTAATAGGGTGTTGGGTACCCGTGTAGTAAATTTGGACTTGTCCCAGCTCTAGTGTCGACAAACCTAGAAACAGATTACCTCCCCTTACATCTCCAAATAAAATGCAGTTACCTTAAGAACGCCTGCTGCATATTCCTGAGTTGAGTTTCTCATGTCTTCTCCATTGACAGCGAGAATCTGGTCCCCTTGCATAAGTCTTCCATCAGCTTCTGCCACCCCGCCTTTCACCTGAAACAACATGGACACGTCACCCACGAGGCAGGATTCCATTTGCTGGCTTTCAGCAGTAATGCAGCACTATCAGTGCATGAGTTTAGTTTAACGCAGGTCTGAACAGTACCTGAGATGTATTATGACATGTCAGCTTGATCTGGGATAAAATCCTGAAGAAATGCAGGTCACAGATATCTACTATGCAAGGGAGTCCAAAGAGGAGATAGTTTTGAAAATATTAATTGAATAAGGGTCTTTGACATGACAAGTGAATGCTTTAACCACTAGGGTTGCACACTGTATGGAACTAATAAAAACAAACTTAACCCTGGAAAGAAGAAAGAAGTCTAAAAAATTCATATCCCCCAGCTAATCATTTCAAAATAACTTGAAATAGAGGGTTTACAGTTGTGATACTGGACTCAATTCGAATCTCAGTAGATCAAAGAATTAAGTTTTGCTAGCTAATATATACATGCAGTCTTCAAAACTAAGAATAACATTCAAGGTGTACTTGTCATAGGTCCCATGTGAAACAGGTCGATGCCCACTGTACGCGTGTGCCTATGTTGCTGACAAGGATCTCTGTTGTACTCACAATATCTGATATGTAAACACCGACATCAGTCTTCTTGCCCACGATGCTGAGTCCGAGACCCTTGCCCGGTTTCTTCATGAGCTCGACGCTGAAGATGTCATAGATGTCCTCCTCCTTCACCTGGTTGTCGTCGCGGTACATGAGGATCCACACGTTGGAGGGCGTCTGCCGCAGCACCTGGATGGCGTGGTCATGGGTGGCATCACGCAGGTCCTCTCGGTTAACCTGCAATACGAAGAGGTTGTGGAGGTGTGAGGGTGACGGTAATGGTGTCTGACTTGATGTTATACTGTTAACATATGTGGATGGTGTTTGACTTGATGCATGTGGATGGTGTGTGACTTGATGTAGGAACTGTTTGACTTGATGTAGGTACTGCTTGACTTGACGTAGGTACTGTTGGACTTGATGTAGGTACTGTTTGACGATGTATGTAGATGGTGTTTGACGTGATGCAGGTACTGTTTGACTTGATATGGGTACTGTTTGACTTGATGTATGTGGATGGTGTTTGACTTGATTTATGTGGATGGTGTTTGACTTGATTCATGTGGATGGTGTTTGACTTGATGTAGGTACTGTTTGACTTGCTGTAGGTACTGTTTGACTTGATGTAGGTACTGTTTGACTTGATTCATGTGGATGGTGTTTGACTTGATGTAAGTGTGTTTTACTTGATTCACGTGGATGGTGTTTGACTTGATGTAAGTGTGTTTTACTTGATTCATGTGGATGGTGTTTGACTTGATGTAAGTGTGTTTTACTTGATTCATGTGGATGGTGTTTGACTTGATGTAGGTACGGTTTTACTTGATTCATGTGGATGGTGTTTGACTTGATGTAGGTACAGTTTTATTTGAATTATGTGGAATGTGTTTGACTTGATGTAGGTATGGTTTTATTTGAATCATGTGGATGGTGTTTGACTTGATGTAGGTACAGTTTGACTTGATGCATGTCCATGGTGTTTGACTTGATGTAGGTACGGTTTTACTTGATTCATGTGGATGGTGTTTGACTTGATGTAGGTACTGTTTGACTTGATTCATGTGGATGGTGTTTGACTTGATGTGGGTACTGTTTGACTTGATTCATGTGGATGGTGTTTGACTTGATGTGGGCACTGTTTGACTTGATTCATGTGGATGGTGTTTGACTTGATGTGGGTACAGTTTGACTTGATTCATGTGGATGGTGTTTGACTTGATGTGGGTACTGTTTGACTTGATTCATGTGAATGGTGTTTGACTTGATGTAGGTACAGTTTTACTTGATTCATGTGGATGGTGACATGATAAAAATGGAAGGTGTTCAAACAGGTACAAGTGGAAGGTACTGCTTGATTTGATGGATGGGGTAGGTGCTGGATTGACTTGAGGTGGATGGTGTTTGTCTACAGGGGTATCGGGGGTGTCTGGCTTAGTCAAGGCAATGGATGGGGTAGGTGGACATGGAGGGTTGTAATGTCAGGAAGGATTGCCAATAAGCAGGTGACATCTGATTCTCACCTCCAAGATTTGGTCCCCAGCACCAAGTCGGCCATCCTTAAAGGCTGCCCCATCTTCATACACCTCGTGAATAATGATAGCCCCCTGGAAAACAGGTGAAACACACTGAATCCAAAACTTCAAAGAGAAATGTTGAACGGTTATCAATAACAAACACTACAATTTGCAATTTTTTAAAATAATTTTAATAACACCAGCAACTTAGATAATAAACTTACACGTATATAATATCATTTTGTTATTAATTTACAGAGGAGTTACTACAGGAAAAGGGAATGACGATGACTTAGTTAATTGTCAAGACAACATGTTGACTTACCAGTAGCGTGTCTGACCCACCCACGATGCTGAGCCCGAGCCCTGTTCGACCCTTTTCTATCTCAATGAGGGTCTCTCGACCTGGGGTGATAGGGCAGGTCTTGGGGTCGGTTGTCACAACTGGGGCAGGAGGGTCAGTTGAAGATTCATCTGGAAACACACATATGGATACAGTTATCTGGAAAATACTGCATGACATGCTTGATTGTATCAACACTATGCATTTGGGGTTTGGAAAAGTCCAAATTTATTATCCATATACTTGACACATTTTTACCTGACCCTACCTGGGTACCTGACCCCTTTTACCCAACAGTCCCTGGATACCTGCTGAAGGTGTTAAGGGCTTGGTACAACATGTCTGAATGGGAATAGTATCACTGGAGCCCCGGGAAAAACTAATGATAATATAAAACACATATAAAGATGGTGATCATGTATAATATACACTGACGTTGCCTGAAGCTATATCCTTACTCAAACAAATAAAAGTCAGAAAGTAATGCGAACTTTAGCGTCTTTTAGTGTAGACATGGAGTTTTAATGTTATTGTCATTAAACAATATATCACATGACGAACCAAGGTTTGAATACCTGAGTTACCTGTCCTTGTCCTATATGCCTACACTGAGTTACAACCCACAATAGGACAAATGATATGTTATGTTATTCCATACAGGCATTATCCAGCTGATACAGGCCCCTATCCGTAAACTGGGATACTTTGTGACACAAAGAAAAAGGCATGATGTACTTTCGGATGAGCCTTCAAGAGTTGTCTCCCTTAGACAACCCACACAGCACTTGAATTCCAGTAGTGACATTCTTGTGACAAATGAACATTAAGTGCCTGTTTAACTCCGTCCATAAACATATCCTATTTTCCTATCAACTATTGTTTCCCTGGATATATATACTTACCAACTGTGTTTCCAAGTCGGATCAAATCTCCTGGCTTGCCTTTTCCAATCTTTCGAACCTTTAATTTCACACTGCCCTGAGATTGTCGTAAAACATCGATTGCCTGTAAAGGAGTTAAAGCAATTACATAAGCATCATCTTGATAGGAAAACACAGTTGTAAAAGCTCCATTAAAATTTAGCCAGTGTGCTACAACAGAAAACAAAAATATAACATATCTATTTTCCCTTGAGGTAATTTCTGATGTAGTGTGGAACTACACTGTACGTGGGTTGATTGATAAGTTCTAAGTCTCACATAGAAGGAACTGCGTAATAGTAAAATAATTTTTTGTGGACATTACTTTATGTTCCTCAAGTTAGCCCATTTTCCAAAGGATACAGACCCTGCTTATTCTACTGACTTGTCACAGCAACCAATTTGCTGAACTGACTCAGGTTTTTGGGGCATTATCTCCAGGACATCATGTGATGTCCACAACAAAGTGAGCGAGTGAGTGAGTATGGTTTTACACCCCTTTTAGCAATATTCCAGCAATATCACGGCGGGGGACACCAGAAATGGGCTTCACACATTGTACCCATGTCGGGAATGAACCCGGGTCTTCGGCCTGACGAGCGAATGTTTCAACCACTAGGCTCCCCGACCGCCCCTCCACAACAAAGATTTCACTATAACACAATTCCTTCCATGTGAGGCCCAGAACATAACAGTCAACCCTTGTATCAAGACAACATGACACTGAAAGGTTTGAGTAGCTTTAGAGTCTGAGCAGAATATGCTAGAACGTATTTTTCAGCAGCTGTAGGAACAGAACGTCGCTTCTCACCTTATCGTAATGTACGCCATTTAATGATTTATCTCCAACTTCCATGATCTGGTCTCCAACTGTCAGCTGTCCATCCTACAATATACAAGTGATTGAGTGAGTTAGCTCACAAGGCAAAACTGCTCTCCCTGGTAGCAAGGGGTCTTCACTGAGGTTAGCGTTTCTTGTTTAAGAACCGTGACGCTATCAAAGTATCTATCGCTAGGGATCGCAACAAGAACTTTCACGGGTCGCTCTGTTACTGGGTAGTTGTTGGTACTCAGTAGTTAATTATGGGAAAATTTGACCTTGTACTGACTCACTACTGGTGTCACTGCGCTAAACTTGGGTATTATATTTTAAACCCCTTTTTCTAATCCGTGAATAACCAATTTTCCTGGGATTGCCTAGTTTAGGTCAAGTATCTTTTTATGGTTGTGAGTAAAGTTACTCTTTAGGTCAAGTACCATTTTATGGATGTGAATGTAATGGAAGAGAAGTTATGACTACGTTGAAGATGTTGAGCAGACTGAGGATGGTGCAATGTTAGCAGCCTTTGCCCGTTTTCCAGTTGATCCAGTCAACAATTTCTTGTTCCATTTGAGAACGAAGCGACATCAGTCAGCGATTGATACAATTGCTAGCGGCTGAAAATTAATGCCCCATTGTAAGACGAATCTCTGTACATCGCTTGTAAGCGATTGTTGCTTTGCAAGGCAATCTGGTCTCAGGAGCCAAGCTCCGTGAGAGGCTTTATCCAGCTATGCCAATATAAACAGAAGCAACAAGACCCTTTCCATTGTACAGTTCTGACCACGTCGTTCGTTCGTTCGTTCGTTCGTTTGTTCGTTCGTTCGTGAGCGAGTATGGTTTTACGCCGCTTTTAGCAATATTCCAGCAATATCACGGCGGGGGACACCAGAAATGGGCTTCACACATTGTACCCATGTCGGGATTCCAACTCGGGTCTTCGTCGTGATGAGCAAACGCTTTAACCACTAGGGTACCCAACCACCCCACGGCATCATGAGCATGTTTAAGAATCACTATCATGACTACTAAACAGTGATTAAAACAGGTGTTTTCGTGAAAAGGTGAGCGTATCCTGCCCCACGAGTGGCACCCCACACAAACACATTGATCCACTATCAGTATAGTGTCACAAAATCAACAAGGTCATCATGATCCTCCCAGGTGCTGACAAATAACGATGTCTACCCAGTACCCACCCAATCCGTGTTTTAAATAACAAGCACATGTAACATATACCAACCTTTGCTGCAGCGCCCCCTGGCGTTACACTGCGGACATAGATTCCATGGCGGCCATCTCGAGTTTCTTCCACTATGCCGAAACCAAGACCTTGAGGTCCCTATAATCACAGATTGTAAAGAGATTTACTTAAGTTTCAGAGAAGCAGAGAAATGATAAATCAACAAATATATTTCAATTTGTGCCGCCACATATTTTGCTTTCTTGTTTTTACTACAGGTTTAATTTGAAATTTGTTCCATTAAATCACATACGATACCATACCTTCTGAAGTGTGAAAAAAACATACCTCAGAAAACGTACAACTTCATGTATGACAACTTGTTGTTTTTTTAGCATTAGCAAAACATTTCAATGAAGATTCTTATATCGCTCTCAAGCTGTAAGAATCTACATCAAATCATCACTGATGCAAAATATACCCGTAGTTGTCATCCAAAAAGTTGTTTGTTTTCGTATCTACTCACCAACTTCTTGCATGCTAATCAAACACTTAATAACATACCTTCTGAAGTGTGACAGTATTTACAATATCAAGAGGTTTGTGGTCCTCTTTTGGGGGCTCCTTGTGAGGCGTCGTACCCGTTGCTGTAGGAACAGGTGCCCGATTGGGTGTCGGCTTTGGGGAAGTGGCTGATTCCACGTGTTCCTGTCACAATAGACATTTTGACATTAGTAATATTTTAACATCTTCGCTGATCATTGGGCAGGAATATCTTCAACTAGCTCCATACAAGTAGCCATGCTTAGAGCTGAACCTGTTCAATCAGACTGTGAGTGAGTGAGTGAGTGAGGTTCAGTGCTGTCGTCAGCAATATCACAGCTATGATGAGTGAGTGAGGCCAAAGTCAGCATAATGCCAGATAAACTAGTCTACAATTCCATTATTTGTTTGTTTGTTGTCTTAACGCTGCACTCAGCAATATTCCAGCAATATGAAGGCGGTCTGTATATAATAGAGTCTGTGCCAGACAATCCAGTGACTGACATTCTGAGCATAAATCTATGCAACTGGGATACGATGACATGTATCAACCAAGTCACTGAGCCTGACCATCCGATCCAATTACTCCCCTTTTACGACAAGCATAGTCGCCTTTTACGGCAAGCATGGGTTGCTGAAGACCTATTCTACCCCAGATCCTCATAGGTCATGTTTTTATTATGTCTGGGCAAGATGACAGAAAATATACCATACTGTAACCATCCAATTTTCATTAGTCAACACCTTTAATTAGCAGGTCATACTGAGGACCCTTTCTGCCCTGGAAGCCCAAACAGGGAATTACACTATATCAAAGTAGCCTGTGTGACGTAATATTGACAGGACCACGCTAAACAGTCATCATTCAGAGCATGACTCACTTAGGACATGGTTAATGGCTGCTTCACCCAGGTGATTGTAGTCAAGTACTATCCATTCACAGGAACATTGTGTCAAACTGATCCTCAATTTGGTCACCAATTATCAAATTAATCAAATAAACTTTCCAAAATTCTAATGATGCTCACATCATCAACCACTAGTTTGTCTGGACCAGACTTGATTACATCACAGTTCACACATAGTAGTACAGCTGCCTGTGTATTTCCACATTCACTCACTCCTAACAATCAATCTACTTTTCCCCTAATACCCCAACACCAAAGTGGCCTAATCAGATTTTGTTCTTTGGCTCCCATGACCCATGTCATTTGGTTTCGTCTAGACATTCAGTTAATGAAATAGGTATTTGATCCACGGCAGGCTGAGCTTTTAACATTGCTATTGATTGGCGTGTGTGGCTGAATATGACACAGATGATGCTGGAGAAGCCTCCATGCAATGTTTGGGCCATCTCCGTCTATTGCCTTATGAATATCAAGTTTTTTTATATGCTCGGGTTGAAATGATAAATGTCCTCCATCTAATCTTCTAAAAGACAAATGTCTCAGGGTCTAATATTCCATAATTTGAATTTCAAATTGGGCAATGTCACAGTAACTTCAGAATATGCAGGACAGGATTTGGGTAAACAAGCTCAATGGCAGCGACCAGACTTCAGAACGGACATTTTACAAACCATCCACTACAGAAGAAAAGGGGGCAAAGACACTGAATCTTGTTAGTTGACTGATCACTAAAACAAAATTCTCAACTTTGTACACTGTCTGTGTTGATAGACCATAATCTAAGCACAGAGTATAATTAAGCATTAGAGATAAAAATATAATGAATCAAATAAATATAAAATCATAAACAGAAATGTCTTGGTTCTTCCTCAATCTCATTCTCAGGAAGCACCATTGCGACTATCTTCTTCATGGTCATCCATCCATTAATTTCTAACATCAAGCAGACATTTTGACCACTTGATACCTATTTTGCTTGTTTCTTTGTCTCTGACCTCAGCACAAGTCACTGATCTCAACACCAATCTCTGACCTTCACACTGACCTCGACACAAGGCAGGACTTACCTCTGTGTGGATGATGGGTCCCAGACGTAGCGGCTTGATAGCCATGTGAAGCTGGTAGTTCTCTCGTCTGAAATAAAATGTCACATTATACACCTACATGTCACATCGTTTTCGGATTTGACAAAAAAATGTCAGCACTTTGCATTCAAAAATCATGCCAAATATGTAAGAATGACACATAATTAATTTTACATTCATTGCAGTAGTTGGCTGTTAAAACAACCATGGTATACTAGAGACTATTTGGCCCCAGTATCACCACTTAAATACAAGCATGGGTTTCTAGGGACATATTCTGCCCTGGAATCCCCACTGGAATACAAGCAAGTGGCACTGTGGACCTATTCTGCCCTGGAATCCCCACTGGAATACAAGCAAGTGGCACTGTGGACCTATTCTGCCCTGGAATCCCCACTGGAATACAAGCAAGTGGCACTGTGGACATATTCTGCCCTGGAATCCCCACTGAAATACAAGCAAGTGGCACTGTGGACCTATTCTGCCCTGGAATCCCCACTGGAATACAAGCAAGTGGCACTGTGGACCTATTCTGCCCTGGAATCCCCACTGGAATACAAGCACGTGGCACTGTGGACATATTCTGCCCTGGAATCCCCACTGGAATACAAGCAAGTGGCACTGTGGACATATTCTGCCCTGGAATCCCCACTGGAATACAAGCAAGTGGCACTGTGGACCTATTCTGCCCTGGAATCCCCACTGGAATACAAGCAAGTGGCACTGTGGACATATTCTGCCTTGGAATCCCCACTGGAATACAAGCAAGTGGCACTGTGGACATATTCTGCCCTGGAATCCCCACTGAAATACAAGCAAGTGGCACTGTGGACCTATTCTGCCCTGGAATCCCCACTGAAATACAAGCAAGTGGCACTGTGGACCTATTCTGCCCTGGAATCCCTACTGGAATACAAGCAAGTGGCACTGTGGACCTATTCTGCCCTGGAATCCCCACTGAAATACAAGCAAGTGGCACTGTGGACATATTCTGCCCTGGAATCCCCACTGGAATACAAGCAAGTGGCACTGTGGACCTATTCTGCCCTGGAATCCCCACTGAAATACAAGCAAGTGGCACTGTGGACATATTCTGCCCTGGAATCCCCACTGGAATACAAGCAAGTGGCACTGTGGACCTATTCTGCCCTGGAATCCCTACTGGAATACAAGCAAGTGGCACTGTGGACCTATTCTGCCCTGGAATCCCCACTGAAATACAAGCAAGTGGCACTGTGGACCTATTCTGCCCTGGAATACCAACTGGAATACAAGCAAGTGGCACTGTGGACCTATTCTGCCCCACTATTCCCACTGGAATACAAGCAAGTGGCACTATAGACCTATTCTGCCCTGGAATCCCCACTGGAATACAAGCAAGTGGCACTGTGGACATATTCTGCCCTGGAATCCCCACTGGAATACAAGCAAGTGGCACTGTGGACATATTCTGCCCTGGAATCCCCACTGGAATACAAGCAAGTGGCACTGTGGACCTATTCTGCCCTGGAATCCCCACTGGAATACAAGCAAGTGGCACTGTGGACATATTCTGCCCTGGAATCCCCACTGGAATACAAGCAAGTGGCACTGTGGACATATTCTGCCCTGGAATCCCCACTGGAATACAAGCAAGTGGCACTGTGGACCTATTCTGCCCTGGATTCCCCACTGGAATACAAGCAAGTGGCACTGTGGACCTATTCTGCTCTGGAATCCCCACTGGAATACAAGCAAGTGGCACTGTGGACCTTTTCTGCCCTGGAATCCCTACTGGAATACAAGCAAGTGGCACTGTGGACATATTCTGCCCTGGAATCCCTACTGGAATACAAGCAAGTGGCACTGTGGACCCATTCTGCGATGGAATCCCCACTGGAATACAAGCATGTGGCACTGTGGACCTATTCTGCCCTGGAATCCCCACTGGAATACAAGCAAGTGGCACTGTGGACATATTCTGCCCTGGAATACCAACTGGAATACAAGCAAGTGGCACTGTGGACCCATTCTGCCCTGGAATCCCCACTGGAATACAAGCAAGTGGCACTGTGGACCTATTCTGCCCTGGAATCCCCACTGGAATACAAGCAAGTGGCACTGTGGACATATTCTGCCCTGGAATCCCCACTGGAATACAAGCAAGTGGCACTGTGGACCCATTCTGCCCTGGAATCCCCACTGGAATACAAGCAAGTGGCACTGTGGACATATTCTGCCCTGGAATCCCCACTGGAATACAAGCAAGTGGCACTGTGGACATATTCTGCCCTGGAATACCAACTGGAATACAAGCAAGTGGCACTGTGGACCTATTCTGCCCTGGAATCCCCACTGGAATACAAGCAAGTGGCACTGTGGACCTATTCTGCCCTGGAATCCCCACTGGAATACAAGTCATGGGTACAAGCAGAGCTTGACCCCAATCCTGTCCAGAATCTTAACAGGTCTTCAATGATGAAAGTTTTCATTTACCTGAGGAGGACAATCTTGACTGCAGATGTCTTGATGCCCTTGATGATGGCAGAGGCATTCAAGTGACTCCGCCCATGTAGGACTTGACCATTCACCTACAAAACATAAGATAGAAACGTGATATCTGAAAATTTAAGAAGATTATATTTCAGAGGCCACTCAAAGCAAATTGATGGATTCTCTTAAATATGATTATGCAAAGTGCATGCCGTCTTTCTAAACCACTTCTCTCTAAGTTTGGAACACTCAATAACATGTGGCATTTTTTAGTCATATTTGTATTTGCTCTCAGGGTTGAACGGGATTGAACATGTATGCCAAAATTCATACTGAATTGACAGTAATGAGTCTGAAAGTATTACAACAGCTAGTTGCAGTATGCCATTGCCTTAATGTGAACAGAAACAGAGTGCAGTATGGGCATACAGGTAATCCACTCAAACCAGACCAGACAAACCAGCTCTGGACATCAGAACTAACAATCCATATGCCAACAGTAATCTGTTTCTGATATACGACAAGTCAGGACAATTGGGCATCCACACTGGTGGGTTTAGAGGGGTGGGGGCGCAGGGAGTGTAGGGTGGGGAGTGTATACAGGGTGTGTGGGTGGAGGAAGTCATCTCCATCTTGTTGGTTAACTTCCCCCCCCCTCCCCCCAATGTTTTATCTCACAACCCTGTCTCTGTGTGATGAGTGAGTACCAATACAAAACAGTGATCAGGGATATATAAACAGCTCTCTCCCCAGAAAGTGGACCACACTTTCTCAAAACACCTTCATACAGAGAGTGATCAGGGATATATAAACAGCTCTCTCCCGAGAAAGTGGACCACACTTTCTCAAAACACCCTCTTACAAACAAATCAGGCTCTCAGTTGAAACTTTTCCTCATCAAAGTTCACCACAACTTAGTCCTCTCTCACATCACAGATTTGATACTCAATCACCTAATCTATTCGCTAATCAATTCCTTCCACCTGGAGAAGGACAGGACTAACTACGGCTACAATGATAACGTGTGACATGAACTAATCATTGTGCCCAACACAACAAGTTGGACTAAAAAGCCCAGCCAAAGAGGTGTGAAGGCAATGAATTCCAATATTAACTGGGAGGCGTGATATTGCCCCAACACTTCACATCCCACATAGCTCCGTCAGACTAATCACTTTACACACAGCGGACGACTCCCGACTTGGAAATAGAGCCAATATGTTCTACATTTGCTTCTCCTAATGATTTCCTTACATTTACTGACAATGAACGTTTCGTTTTTTTAGGCAGTTAGGTAATTGGATTCAAAATATTTTGCTGAAGAGAATTTCAAATCCAATTGGTGCTCGTGTGGAGTGTTTATATGAATGTCAAAGGTAAGCCTGGTTTAGTAATTGGCATGTGTTTTTCTCAGTGAAATGCCAAAAGAGGAAGTCACTAAAAAGTTGCCCCTAGAGACTACTGGGGAAGTTTTAATTGCAAATGTTACAATTAGAAACTAAACATGCATCCTCTTGAGAGAAAACACATTCCATGAGAGAGAGATGGAGCGTTGTTTTACACCTCAGTAGGCCATAGTCCAGCTGTATTGCTGTGGGGAACTGGAACCTGGGAAAATGTTTGGGGAATTTTATGCTTAATTTGGATACTGTGGACTCCCAAACGAGTTTGAGAAAACCAGGAATTCGACACTTCCAAGTTCGACATAAAGAGGTTTGACTGTATATTCACACCAAAACTTATCATGTAGCCTTAAACTTTGACCATCCATGATATTCTATATATCCCATGCTGTCTGGAAACTCACCTCCAGCAGTTCGTCCCCGACTGTAATCCTGCCATCCTTGGCGGCAGTGCTCTCTGGCTGTATCCCCGCCACAAACGCACTCATTAGGTTCCGATCCTTATTGCCAGCCAAGCTCAGGCCCAGACCATTAGACCCCGTCGACAGATCCACCAGGTGAATATCTCCGCTCAGCTCACCATATTTCTTCTGAAGTTTTTCTGGAAACAGAGAACCATGGTTTGAATAAATCCGTGAAAGACAGAAGGTACAACATAAAGTACAGCTTGACATGAGGTGAATCTTCATTGTCACTGTCATTCAGCCTGCAGTCAAAGTGTTAGCTGTTCAAGTACAATGAGGGAATCATGAGTGAGTTGGGTTTAACACCGCTTTTAACAGTATTCCAGTTATATCACACGTGTCAGCTTAATGTGGGAGGAAAGCCCAAAGTGATGCAGGTCTCAGACGTTTACCACTTCGGTGAAACCCACGAGCACGGGCATGGTGCTGACAAACCTAGAAACATATTCAGGGTAAGGGAATCATGAACCAAGTGGCCTTGATAGTGAGTGAGTGAATATTGTTGACTGACACAGTCAATAGAATTACAGCAGTAAGAATATTACTGTAATTCTATGTAAATCTGCTGTAATTCTATTGACTGTCATTCAACAATATTCACTCACTCACTTCTTTATTACAATTAGGAACGATGTTTCGGTGTAAGTTCGAACCTACACCGAAACATCGTTCCTAATAATAAAGAAGTTGTTCATCCATATATCTTATCCTTACTGCTGTCCTCGTGGCATCATATATCCCTAGCTTATGAGAGGAAGATATTGACACAACTGCATCCATTTTCATCTTGGATTTTCTGATTGCATGTTATACGTCATTCCAACATATGTCAATGATTAAGATGGGTTAATTTCAATACTATGTTGTGCAAATGTTGGCCATCTTATTCCGTTACAGAAAGTCAATAGGTGTCATTAGTTTCTTTCCTGAATTTATCGAATATCTGTAAGTTCCAAATGCAAGTAGGCACATAACGGCAGTGCTCATGATACAATGAATGTATTATGATACAACCATTACCAAGGGAAGCAACTATACACACAATTTGTGCTTTGGGCCATTGTTTGTTTGTTTTTGTTTTGTTTGTTCGTCTCTTTCTTGCGTAACGAAGCACTCAGCAATATTCCAGCTAAGCGATGGGGGTCTATAAATAGTCAAATCTCCACAAGACAATCCAGTGATTGACATCATGAGCATCGATCTACGTAATTGGGAGATGATGACATGCATCATCTAAGACAGCAAGCCGGACCAATCCTGTAGGCTGTAACATACTTAATTAACACAGTCGCTTAAGATTTGTTTGTTTGTTTGTTTGTTTGTTGTTTAACGCCGCATTAGCAATACTCCAGCAATATGACTGTGGTCTGTAAATAATCAAGTCTGGACCAGACAATCCAGCGATTGATATAATGATCTATGCAATTGGGATACGATGACATGCATCAACCAAATCAGCGAGCCTGACCACCTGATCCTGTTTGTTGCCTCTTACGACAAGCATATCTCCTCTTATAGCAAGCATGGGTTGCTGAAGACCTATTCTAGTTTCTACCCCGGATCTTCACGGGTCCCAAAGTGAAGTAGGTCATCAGCATATTTCACTTTCACAACAGTGTGAAACCAGGATCAAAGCAATTACCAGCAAACATATAACATTGATGGTGAAGTTGGGTCACCTCAGGCCACCATGCTCCAAATCAAGCACGCAACTTGTGAATCCTGACAAGGCAAGGGGATGTAACTCTGCACAGTGACTAGTGGCAGCTTAGAAGACCGGCCCACCCATACCCACTAGGATAGATAGAAATGAGTTGGTCCATCATGAACTTCATGATTCTTGGCATGGCTAGGGGAACAACTATGCACAGCAGTGTTCAGTGCCTGAAACCACTTCGCCCATGTCACGAAGTGCACAGACAATGTTAAGCCCCAGCTAAAGCTTTCAAGACTTTTCCTTCCATACATTCATAATATCAACTCTTCAAAATCACATCTACCAAAGACAGAGACAAGTTCCCTACACAGGTCTTCCCTGGTGCTATTGACACAGCTATTATTCTCTCTAGGATAGATAGAAATGAGTTGGTCCACCATGAACTTCAGAATTCTTGGCATGGCTAGGGCTGCAACTATGCACAGTGACTAGTGGCAGCTTAGAAGAAAAAATTGAGTCATAAAGAACTCAACACAGAAATACCACAGGTGGCTCATCTGACATTGACCTGAGTCAACAACATCCACGGGACATTTTCACAGCATGATCATATTAACTTTCTGTAGACATCACACAAGTGCATCATATGTAATTCCACATCATCTACATCAAAGAACATTCCCCCTGTCTGTCTGCAGTGAATTAGTGAGCATCACAGCATGTCAGCTTGCCATGGGAGGAACACCAGAAGTGACGAAGGTCCTAGACTTTGACCACTCTGGTGAAACCCATGACCACGGGTGTCAGCTGTGAGTCTGCAAGGTCCCGCCAACCTTCACCTAGCAGTACTGAGCAGACGGTCTGACCTACATCTCAAACCCCATCCGCGAAGGCCATGAAAGCCGTCTGCCAAATGTACAGCAGTAATGTACATCTCACCTAGGTATTGACAGATTATTGCACCATATACCACAGTTTAGCATGACAGTCCTGTCTATTTCCCACAGCAGCAAGTTATGTCACAGATCTATATCAACATCATATACCCAAATATGAGAGCATTGTTGAAATCAGATCTGTGCACTCCCCATAGGCTTCAACCATCCAAATAAAAAATTACATGACATACATGCTTCAAAGTCATAAACTCCTGTTAATTTACCCTTTGAAAATTCTAGCCTGAAAAATAAAATAAGTTTGTTCGCTGTAGCTTTTTCAAAATGTGGAAGGGCTAGTGGATTTTGTGTCGATGTCAGAGTAAGTAAAGCCCCATTGGACACTGTCTGGACATGTTCATAACATCAACCACTGGTTTGTTTCTACTAGGCTTGATTATTTTCAGACCACTGTCACAAGCTGGAATAGTGCTGACTCCAGGATTTACTCATATAGTGAGTGAGTGAGTGAGTTGGGTTTAACGCCGCTTTTAACAGTATTCCAGTTATATTGCGGCGTGTCAGCTTAATGCGGGAGGAAAACCTGAAGTGATGCAGGTCCCAGACGTTTACCACTTGGTGAAACCAAGGAGCACGGGTATGGTGCTGACAAACCTAGAAACATAATCGGGGCGAACCGTGATTCGAACCCACAATCATAGGTTTCTGGCGTGCCGAAGGGACGCAACTCTGCACAGAGAATCGCGGCGCCTTAGACGACTGGGCCACCCATGCCCCTGAATCACTCATATAACAGAAATGCATGTATCCATCCATCTGAAGGCAGTATATAGTGATGTACGTAAGCAATGCCTGAAAACAAATACTACTTTCGTCCAATATTATTTGTGTGTAATGTTTATCATATTCACAGGGCAAATTTATCAACACAAGCTGACCAAAAAAAAAAAATGCGTAACAGAATCCCTCTGTGTTCATTTCCTACTTCTGTCTCTCATGACAGCATCATGTGTGTGGTCTATACCTCAACCTATCTGAAGATAGCAATGTCATGATCTCATAGGTCAGTTTAGTCTAGGGGGAAAGGTTGCCAAAAGTTTGTTTATTTGTTTGTTGTTTAACACCGCACTCAGCAATATTCCAGCTATATGATGGCGGTCTGTAAATAATCGAGTCTGGACCAGACAATCCAGTAATGGACATCGTGAGCATCGATCCACGCAATTGGAATACGATAACATGCATCAACCAAGTCAGTGAGCCTGACCACCCGATCCCGTTAGTCGCCTCTTATGACAAGTATAGTCGCCTTTTACGGCAAGCATGGGTTGCTGAAGACCTATTCTACCCCAGATCTTAGAAGCTTAGAAGATCGGCCCACCCGTACCCCCTAGGATAGATAGAAATGAGTTGGTCCATCATGAACTTCATGATTCTTGGCATGGCTAGGGGAACAACTATGCACAGCAGTGTTCAGTGCCTGAAACCACTTCGCCCATGTCACGAAGTGCACAGACAATGTTAAGCCCCAGCTAAAGCTTTCAAGACTTTTCCTTCCATACATTCATAATATCAACTCTTCAAAATCACATCTACCAAAGACAGAGACAAGTTCCCTACACAGGTCTTCCCTGGTGCTATTACACAGCTATTATTCTCCTGACCCATGACTTAGCTTCCTCCGATCCAGTGAACTGCCAGACTATACTTTATCATTGATCCATTCTGCAGACAGTCTTCCATCCTTCACATCCTTTGATGGAGGACAGAAGCATCATAGATAAATAGTTCATGTTTTTTCTACTTGGTAGTCAAGGTAACAAGATGAAGATTTCACGGCCTCCATGGTCCAGTGGATAGTGTCAGCCCAGGAGCAGACAGACAGTGGTTTCATGTGTCATACGACAAAATAAAAAGATGGTACTTTTTGTTACCCTGCCTGGTTCTCGGCATTAAGGGGATAAAACAAAGACTGGTCAGCTCGGGGTCAGTATACTGTGTCTGAGCGGGGTAGTCATATAAATACTGCAACATGGCATCTGAGTGGGCTAGCAGAGACACACAGGCACACACACACTCACACAGACACATGCATGTCGTCATATAAATGCAGTAATCTTGAACATGACGTAAAACCCCATTTCACTCACAGTTGAATATTTGGACGAAATGTCTGTGAAACCTGTTCCTACCGCCCAAACATACTATGGACACAAACATCATGATTCGCCTTTACATTCAAGTTGTACATTTGAACAAAAACTCATTGAAATCTTTTTCTTTCAATAATAATCTGTCACTTCTGTTCTGATGTAGCAACTCATCTGGATAGTCCATTTATTCTGAGTTCTTAATCACCCTGGAAAACCAAGTTCCAACTGAAACGCAGCATATCATGTCAGAGCTGGACCGTATCCAGTTAGCAAGAACCAATTGATTCACTGCAACAAAATGACAAAATCAATATCAAAGTTAAAAACAGAAACGTTCGACATAACCCTGAACCATGTCTGTCAGTTCCTTCATGTAAATGTCATAAACGTTGACTCCTAACCAAGAACTGGCAAAAGTGCAAATCAGAACA